GAACCACTGAGTTAAATCCCTGGCCCCCTTTTGGCATCTTTAGCAGTACCAAGCCATGCCAGCCAACGTGGCCTCAGCATAACACAGTCTGCAACCCAGCTGTCAGTCTCATTGGCATAAGTGGTTTAACTCAGCCCCTCTTGGTTTGCACAGTGGAATTAGGGCTTAGAAATGGCCCAAGAAGCCATCAATGAAGCTCTGTCACAAAGACAAGCCATGGGGGCCACTTGTCCTGTCATTTACACGTTACCTTCTTAACCATGTCTCCTTTGGGAACTTACACAGGAGGTGCTCCATGGGCCTTCTCCTTAGGAATCAGCCTGGCTGAGAGGTTGCATGTGTAGTAGTCTTCTTGGTGTGGCCCAGGGAAGCGCACCTGTCCCTCTTCCCTGCTGTCGTGGGTGGTGTTTATTCCTCCCCGACTCTGAGAGTCTGTGGGATCATGGCTAACTAGAGCCCCCAGAGAGGGAAAAATCTATCCTTGACAATTCCCAATCCTGGTGGTTTATCAGCAGAGATGCTTAAAATTATATTTTTCAAATTTGAGTTGGGTTTGTAACGAGGGAGGCTCTGGAAATCATTTTTATGATAGAATAGACTACCAAATGAGTCTAATAGAAACTTAAGGAGCACATGGCAAGCAGTCCCTGCATGTCCCCTCCATTCACATTGTTTTAACCTAAGAAGACCCCACTTCCTAGGAAGGGGTTACTCAGTAATCAGCTGCACTGATGTGCACTACTTGCCAATGTTTTTAACTGAATGCCTGAAAGTCTCAGGTTCTTTTCTTACTACTTATCATTCTGGAGTGTAAGTGTAAGCCACACAACAAGATAAATACAACACATATTTTCATCTTTGTGTAGAATTTCAATTTACCATAACCACAAGAATTCTGTAATTCCTGTGCCGGATACCTTGGGTCTCACTAACCAGACATACATTCTGCCATTTCTAACCTGGGCCTTCGTTTCCTACTCCTCCAGTTGAGTCAAAAACAGACTGAACCATCACACGCTCTGCATTCACCCAGCTTCTTCCAGCAGAACCAGTTGCATTTTGGCTTGCTGTTGGCGTGCACCCCGAGGGCGAGCCTAGGACACTTTCTCCAGCTTGGTTTCCCTCATGTAATTTAATAATACAAGGTCTTTTTCCTCTTGCATTTCACACTGCATGGAATTTAAAAGAAGTTTTTATTTTAAACTAAAAGGTGCAGAGGAAGTATGGCCAGTTCCCAATGCCCTCACCCAGCTGCCCCTGTTGTGAACATCTGACACAGCTGTGGCACATGTGTCAAACCAAGAAAGTCCCCAGGTACAGGGCTGCTGGCTACACTTGGCGGTGTCCAGCCTTTTTCTCTCCCAGGATCCGAACTGGGAAGCTTGGATGCGCTTAGTGTCCTCAGTCTTCCCCACTCCATGGCAGCCACAGTCTCACTCAGGCTGTTCTTGACCACAGAGATTTAAAACATACACACATTAAAAATGCATACCACCTGCCCTTTGGGCCGAACACTCTGTGTCTTGTCCTCCCTTCCTGTTTCCCCTTCATCCTTCCTCTGTCTGCCCACTGCCTGACCCCAGGCAGATGCTTCCCTCTCACTGAAGCCTTGCCCCGCCCTCTGCTGAGCCCGTGAACAGGGAGGAGACTCATGCTTTGTCCTCCAGAACCCCACCTTCCATCTTAGCATTTCCTGCTCTAACCTTTATGCAATTTATTTTCTATGAGCAACTTCACATGTGCTTCAGTGGTTGAGATGTAGTAATCCTTCCGTTGGAACAATAGTTTTGGCCCACATGATCCAAAAACTTGCTAAAAAGTTACTGAAATTAGTGAGAACCAACTGATATTTCCAGCATAAACTGCCCTGCATGACATCTGTATAACTGCTTTGCATGTATGTATTTTAATTGTCAATGCTTGGTAATAATTTATTTCAGAAGTAACAAAGTTCAACCTGGGGTTCTATTTTGGTATAATCGGGGAGGAGGGATGCAACAGTCAAATTTATTAACCTGTCTTTTTAAGTTCAAATGGATACAATGATATGCAGATTCTGGCATGTCTGTGCATAGGTAAACTTTTTCTCCCCTCACAGTAAGTAAAATTTAAGTAAAATTTTCCAAGCATAATAGCCTTAATTGCATATGAAACTTCCCTGTTACACTTTTTTTTTTTTTTTTTTTACAATAACTAAAGTTATCCACAAGTTTGTTCTAGAACTGTTGTGGGCTGACCACTGTCCTGGTTGATTTCTGGAGCTTTGTTAACTCTTTGATCTTCTAGAGAATCCGAGTACATAAAGGAGACAGATGAGGAGAAAGCCTCCTTGCAGAAGTCTATCCGGGTCACTAGTGCCCTGCTCACTGAGAAGGACGCCGAGCTGGAGAAGCTGAGGAATGAGGTGAGGTGCCCCCGGGGTCGGCCTCTGCCCTTCTTGGCCAGCCTTCCAGCCTAAGCTCCGCAACTGTGTTGCAGGTCACAGTGCTCAGGGGAGAAAATGCCTCTGCCAAGTCCTTGCATTCAGTTGTTCAGACTCTCGAGTCTGACAAGGTGAAGCTTGAGCTCAAGGTAAAGAACTTGGAGCTTCAGCTCAAAGAAAACAAGAGGCAGCTCAGCAGCTCCTCAGGTAAACCAGCGCCACCTGCTTCCCTCCCCACAGCCCTCCCCCAATTCAGTCAGCCGAGGACTGGGCACTGGGCACAGCTCAGCCTGCGCCCACAGCAGCAGTACTGCAGGTTCTGCAAGTGCGTGGGGAACAGAGGGACCCCAGTGGAGGGAGATGGGCTGCTTCTCTGGTGGCCAGGCTGGTGGACAGGTCCAGTAGCCCTCTACCTGGGGACAGGAAATGGCTTCCTTTCCCTGCAGCGAGGAAAAAGGGCTCCAATTTGTAACCTTCCTCACTTGTGTTTTCTTTTTTAAATATAAGGTAATACTGATAGTCAAGCAGAAGAGGATGAGAGAGCCCAGGAGAGTCAGGTAATATTTTTTTCTTCATTGCCGTCTTTCTGTTTTTCAAAATCATTGAATCTTTTGAATAGGTAATATATTCCTATGCTTCAAATATAAACATTATTAAAAAAAAAAAGTCTTTCTCTGAATCTTCTCTTCTGTTTAGTTCCTAAGCCCTTAAGCAGGTAATTACTGACTAGTATTTTACCTTTGCAGAGATTTAAACAAAAAGTGTATCTAGGTGGGCACCATGGAGAGCACTGCTGGTCCCAGAACTCTGGATGCTGAAGCAGGAGGATCACTGAAGTCCAGGAGTTCAGCCAGCTTGGGTGACAGGGAGATCCTGTCTCAAGGAAATAAATGTATATATAAGCCAATGTTAATACAGTCACACATCCCGCTTTTTAAAAAATATCAGTAACTTACCACATGAACCATATTGCACCAACACATGGATATAGTTTTTATTCACTTCCCTTTTTTGCCCTTATGGTACCGAGGATTGAACGCAGGGCCTTCACACTGACCTACATTCCCAGCCCATTTTTTATTTTTATTTATTTATTTATTTATTTATTTATTTATTTATTTATTTATTTATTTATTTATTTATTTATTTATTTATTGGTCTCGGGGATCGAACTCGGGTCCTTGCGCTTGTGCAGCAGCCAGCAAAACCACTGAGCTAAATCCCTGGCCCTCATTTTTTATTTTTAATTTTGAGAAAGTCTTGCTAAAGTGTCCACTGTAGCCTTAAACTTGTGATCCTCCTGCCTCAGCACTCTGGGATAAAAGGCATATGCTACTACACCAGCTTCCTTTCTGTTGATAGGACAGTGCTGTAAGGAATTATCTTGAATAAAATCAGGCTAATTTACTCAGATTAGCACTGTCTGCTTAGTGTGTGTCTCTCACAAGTCAGTACGTGATTAACACTGTTTTCTCTCTCCTCCCCTTTCCTTTCTGCTTCCATTTGTTTCTGCTGCTGCTGACAACACTTTTCTTCCCATCAGCAAATGGTTTGTTTTACATTTCCTAATTAGTGTGTGTGTGTGTGTGTGTGTGTGTGTGTGTGTGTGTTTCTGTTTCTGCTTTACTTACATGCATTTTTGTGGCTTTTTCTTCTTCCTGAAATGAAGCTCCTAATCGGGGAATGACTTAGAAAATGCAGTTCGAGAAGCGAAAATAGACACAGTGCGTCTGCCTTCAAAGGTGGACTCACTGATGTGACTTAATGCCAAGAAAGACTGGTGACGGCTACCTTTTCCTCAGAACTTACCTTGGCAGGAGAAAAGGACCAAATACTTTTTAAATGGAGAGAGAGAGAGGGAGAGAGAGAGAGAGAGAGAGAGAGAGAGAGAGAGAGAGAGAGAGAGAGAGTGTGTGTGTGTGTGTTTAATTTTAGAAACTGGGATCTTTCAATTTAGAGAAATGAAACCTTTTCATTGTTTGTAGAAGGGGGAAGCATCTTTTTGTCTACAAAGTCCCTTTGGTTTAAAGGAAGTGTTCAGGACAAAAGTGTCCTCTCTGCCCCAGGATGCTGGCTGCAGGTGCCACTCCTATGTGTGCCACCTGAACACTCGGTGTCACCATGTGCCCATGTCCCGCCCTCCTCAGCAGAGGGAACCTTGCCTTCCCTTTCGAGCCTCTTCATCTCCCCTCTAGGCAGACTTCCTGTTCAGTCACTAAAGGGAAGTCTATAGAACAGGGCGTCAAAGTCCTGAACTGATTCCAGAATTTAATGAAGGAACTTTTTATCCATTATGTAAAATTGTGTGTATGTTTTTAGGTGATAGAAGGAAAGGTAAAACTTATGCCCATGCATCTAAAAATCTGAGATTATTATTTTTGGACCACAAAAATAGCTTTTTTTGTTGAAAGAAATGTTCCTTATACTTTTCCATGAATCATTAGCACTCTACCAACCCTCTGATTTAGCTATTTAAGTATAATTTCCTTTGCCTCAATGACAAGTGAAATTTACCCACTTAACAGCTGGAAACATTCATTGAAATGTGCTTAAAATGTTCTTTGATCTGGACATGGTGCTGCACACCTGTAATCCCAGCACTCAGGAGGCTGAAGCAGGAGGATTGCCATGAGTTCAAGAATAGCCTCAGCTATATAGTGGGTTCAAGGACAGCCTGAACTACATAGCAAGACTGTCTCAAAAATAAACAATGGGCCAGGGATTTAGCTCAGTGGTTTTGCTGCCTGTTGCACAACCGGAAGGACCTGAGTTCGATCCCCGGTACAAAAAAAAAAAAATACACAAAACAAAAACCAAAGACTGTTTTTTATTTTTTTGGTAGCGGGGATCAAACTCGGGACCTTGCGCTTGCAAGGCAGGTGGTGGAACCACTGAGCTAAATCCCCGCCCCCAAAGACAGTGTTTTTCAGTATAAAATAGTTGCTTAGCAAGAAACATTTGAAGACTATTGAGAGGTTGAAAGAGGACAAAGCAACCTCCTTAATCCCATCACCCAAATCACACAGCCAGCCTGGGTTCAGCTGGGTCAGACAAGGTCGGTGCTCCTGTCCTGGGGATTGAAGTAGGGTTTCAGCAGAGCCCCTTCATAGCCACAGAGTGAGGGCAGACTTCTGACTTCGTGATAACCAGCATGTATATGTCCTAGATTTCTTAGGCACCTCACTGATTCTTTTTTTTTTTTTTTTTTTACAAACCAGATTGATTTCCTAAATTCAGTAATAGTGGACCTTCAGAGGAAGAATCAGGACCTCAAGATGAAGGTGGAAATGATGTCGGAAGCAGCCCTCAATGGCAATGGGGACGACCTGAACAATTATGACAGGTATTTCGTATTGGGCCGTACTGATTGTACCTGTACTGCCATCAGGGGTTTTAAAGTTAGGTTCTCCAGTAAGTTGTCAAAAAAAAGAAACGGTTGCTTTGTAGTTACTTTGCCATAAATAGATTTCCATAAGTCTACAAATGGTGTGATCTGAAAATTTTAAATACTATTTATCACGAAGGTGCATGGACTTGGCCAGAATTAATTCTTGTTTAGTTTTAGAATTCTTTATGAGTGCTGTCATCTGTTGAATTTCTTCTGATAAAGTTTGTGGTTTTACACATTAACATTTGTAGTGATGACCAGGAGAAGCAGTCCAAGAAGAAACCCCGCCTCTTCTGTGACATCTGTGACTGCTTCGACCTCCATGACACAGAGGACTGTCCCACCCAGGCGCAGATCTCCGAGGACCCGCCCCATTCCACACACCACGGCAGCCGGAGTGAGGAGCGGCCGTACTGTGAAATCTGTGAGATGTTTGGGCACTGGGCTACCAACTGCAATGACGACGAGACCTTCTGATGCAGCGCCCAGGGTGGGGCTTCACAGGCACCGACACTGACGCACTTGACACCAGCATTTTGTGTGCGGCTTCAGGAGAACTCAGATTATTTTTGACTCCATCAGCAAATCTAAGAAAATATTTTGGTTTTCAACAAATTGCCCTTTAATCTCCCCTTATAAGTTAGAATAAATAAATATTTAATTAGGTGAGCTTTCACTCTAATTTTGTTTTCTTCATTTTTAAGTTTTAAGACATTGCACCAGATGCCATTACATTTATTGTCCCTAAGGAAACTTCGTAGAACAAGCCCTAGCCTGCAATACCTTATTTAAGAAACTTTAAATTATGCCGTTACTTTTCATATTTGCACTAAAATATTTCCAGGCTGCATCTGTATATTTAGAGTTTTTTGGTTAAGCTTTGACACTGGAATGAGTTGCAAAAAATGTACCATTTTGTATTTTCATTTACTCAGAGTATTTTATTCTTAAAGGGATATTGAGCTTTTTGCACTACCTGTTATAGTAGTGCCTTTTTTCAGGCTTGATAATACTTCGGTGTGATTATAAATCATGAAACAGGTAGGAGGAGAGGAAGCCCCCATATTGCTCTGGGGACATTTTACAGTCTATATGCTGCATCCACCTACTCAACTATGGTGTTTTCTTTATTGGTTTTACATAATTTCAGCTTCTATATATTATATGTATATATTTTTTAAAAATCTATATTTTGGGGAAAAAACACAACGTGTCTTTCTTTTCAGATTTTTACTATGAAAAAGAAAATGCCTAAAATGATGACCAGGACAGAACAGACTAGGCAAGAAATAGCATCATGTGGTTCTACAACTATTTTTTTGTTTCTTTTTTCCTTTTTTTTCTTTTTTAACCAGATCTAAATAACTGGAAAGATTTTCTCCAATTTTTTTCCTTCTCTAGCACATATCCCCAGCAGTGAATTAAGCCACTATGAAACACCTAAATAAACCAATCTACAATCTTCCTCTACCATTTTTTTACTGTTTTTAGATGAATGTATGATGAGAAAGTCAACATTAATAATATGGATTTTCTTATCACAAAAAAATAAAGGACCTCAAGCACCAAGAACAGTTTTATCAACAGAATCTATTTATCTTCATTTGAATGTCTTCTAGATATGTAAAAAGAAATGAAATATATCTTCCATCCACGTGTATAATAAGAATTTCTATAACTGTATATATACCTCTGATGTATTTCCCCCCTCAAGATTTTCAACTACATGTTTGACAAGTGAATAAATAAATCTGTTATCAGTTGAAATTTTTGGTTGATAACATAGGATTGTTTCACAGGCAGAAAACATGTAAAGCAGTATTAAAATCTAAGCAAACAAGTGTTCTGTATCTACTTTAATAAATGGTTATTATTATTTTTCCCAATAGTAGTAAATTTGTTATTCTCAGTTTGTCACAATGGCTTTTCTTTTAATTGAGCAAATCCTAGAGATCTAAATATTAAATTCTTTTCCTTCTTCTTTTGGTGCTGGGCATTGCACCTGGCACTTCATGTGTGCTAAACGTGCCCTCTGCCACTAAGCTACTCCCCAGGTCCCCAAGCAGCACTTTCTACTGCAGCCTTGATACTAAGCAGCTGTGTTCTGAGTGACAGCTTGGTAGGATGAAGTGCTTCCTGAGCTTGATGTTTGGGTGCTTGTGAATGCTGACTGAATCATTGAGGATTTTCTAAAAATGGAAAAATAGGCTCAGGAGGCTTCTCTGCATTGGGTGGTGTAGTGGAATCTAAGACCTGGGGAGAGCATTCAGAGATCTGAGTATGAGGTGATGCCATTGGATCCTACATAGGCTAAATGTGCTAGAGGATTGTGGGTCAACACAGGAAGGGTCCTGGGCCTGTTAGTGACTTCAAGAAACAGCTACCCTACCAACTAAGACTGTTGGAAACTCTGGCCATGCTGGGTGGTAGGGTGGTAGACAAGGTCTCACTGTGTAGCCCAGGCTGGCCTCCAACTCAGGGTGATCCTCCTCAACCTCCCAAGTGCTGGGATTACAGGGATGCACCACCACACCTGGCTTTTTAAAAAATACAGAAGAAATTAGTAGCCTTTCTTATCTCAAAACATTTTGTTTCCTATTTAGCAAAAAATATAAGTACATCAAGTTGAGGTAGGCATAGTGGTGCGTGCCTGTATTCTCAGCATTTGGGAAGACTGAGGCAGGAGGATTGCAAGTTCAAGCTCAGCCTGGAAATTTAGTGATTTACCAAGACCCTGTCTCAAAATTTAGAAAGGGTTGGGATATAGCTCAGAATGAAGGCCATGGGTTCAATCCTCGTGCTGAAAAGTTATTCATTGCTTTATACTCCATATATAACAAAAATAGAGGTACCGTATAGTACCAACTATTAATCTATGAACGTGTTTGGGGGGAGGTGGCTAGCCACCCACCACCACACCTGGCTAAGCCATGATGTTTTAGAAAAAAAATACAAAGCTGATTACTGAACCAATTGAATGCTAGTTCTTTAAACATCTTTTGTAGGAACATACTGATGGCCAGCTATTCCAAAGCAGTTATTACTTAAAAAGAACATTACTTTTACCTAAATAATATTCTACAACAGTAGTGCACAGTTTTGGTATTGAGGTGATTACAAGACAAAACTAAGTCTAGAATTTTCCCTGAAGCACCTGTTACTCCATCATCTACAATCCTGATCTTGCTTGGGGGTAGTTTATCATCCTGGTCTTGCTAAGTTACACTCACACATGCTTTGAGATTTCACCAGCCTTAGGCATTTTACCTCTTAGACCTTCACTTAACAGCTCCTGACATAGCTTGTGAGCTCTACTTTTATTCTTGCAGGTGTTAAAATGATACAAAACTCTACAGATGAGAAGAGTTGGAGACAGGCAGAGAGCCACTATGAAACCTAGTTGAGAAGGGAGCACGGAAGAATTTGCATGTGTGCTGACAAGTTACTGCCCAATTGAAATGTCTGTAGCCAGGTGTGGTGGCGCCCATCTATAATCCCAGCACACGGAGGCTGAGACAGGAGGATCACCCTGAGTTCAAGCCCAGCCAGAACTATGTCACGAAACCCTGTCTCAAAAACAAAAACCTAAAAACCTAAATGTCAGTGCTTGATTGAATCAAGAACCTGAGAGGGGCTGGGGATTTAGCTCAGTGGTGCCCCGCCTGCCTCGAAAGTGCAAGGTCCCAAGTTGGATCCACAGTTACGCCCCCCCCCCCAGCAAAGAACCTGAGAATGTAAATTTCAATGGATTGCTTGCTTTTCTGCATCGTCCCCAAATCACATCTTGCTTACTCAGACTCCATGGTAATTGCTTAGTCTTCATTAACATAAAATGTATTAAGATTACTGAAGGAGGCCATATATTGATCAAACATTTTCGAGTCTCAGTAGATCCCAAATGAGCCATTTCCACGCTAAAGTATCCAAAGGTTTATAACCTAATAATTTATTAAGCAATCAAGTTCCAGGGACTGCTCAGCTTTCACATGAATTAGTCCTTTTTGATACAACTCACAAGTCTCAAGCTATTTTTACTGTTAAAGTGGTGGAGCCTGGATTCCAGATGTGATAGTATTTGTATGAAATAACATCGCCGTAAAAGTCCATTAGGAAAAGCTAAAAACCGAAAAGCATTTAACTTTCCCTCGGCTCCTAACTATAAATTAGAATTCACAAACTAAAGGAACTGTCATTATTGCGAAGCGAAGGATATGATTTTTATAATTTAAAAGATTTGCCTTCAAATTGAATATCAAGTTTTTACAGCAACTACTTTTGCGATATTTAAACGGGACGAGCGATTCAGTCCTCATCTTTAAACTCCGTTTTCAGCCCCTAGTGACTCCAGGAGGAAGGCGGGGTCTAAATAAACCACTGGATGGGAGATAGGGTGGACACTAGGACCGCACTAGCGAGGAGTCGAACTCCACCGATTCAAGCGCCGATTCAAGCTTCCCCGTTGACGTGTATCAGCGGCTCCGATCACGTGATCGTGTCGTCAGGTGACAGCGCCGCGGCTTCGCTCAGGGAATCGGCAGTGGGGCAAGATGGCGGCTCACTTGTCCTACGGGCGAGTGAACCTGAACGTGCTGCGTGAGGCAGTGCGTCGTGAGCTGCGCGAATTCTTGGACAAGTGCGCCGGAAGCAAGGTGAGGAACGCGGTACTGCGATACCACCCTCGCTTCCCCTGGCCTGGCCTGGCCTAATCTGGACCTCGATCGCCTGAGTTTGCTGTGTACGAGGTCCACTGGGGTTGCAGGAGGCGAGCATCGGGACCCATCAACTTGCAACCCCTGCGGGCGACAGCGACGAGGCGGGAGGTCCTGGGCGCGTAGCCTGGAGTCAGCATGGCACTGCGTCTGTTCTGAGACAGTAGAATAAGCCACTGTTGTGTCCCAGCTCCTGGCGAGCTGCTTTAAGCTGCGTCTTCTCCGGGTCTAGAGAAGCAGCTCTGGTTATCTCTGAGAAACGGGACCCGTGGGGCGCGCCCGGCCCTGGGATGTAGATGGCCCACTGTCCATTCGTTACCAATCCAGCTTTGAAAGGCTCTGAAGCACCGACCCCTTACATCCTCCTCGCAGAAATGAGAGATGATGTAGTTATTTGGGGTTTTAACTTGGCCTTCCAAAAATAGGATGATTTACCCTGCGAGAGCATCAAGCTCACAAGGGAAGTAGACACTGTAGATCGGGGACTTAAAGACCTTTCAGAGTTGCAGCCTGTGTGTTCTTTGGGGGATGCCAGTCCCCTTATGAACTGGCAATATTCCTCCCAAGGGAAGACTACAACTGAGGAACCCAGAAACCAGACTTAGATTCAAGAGAGAGAGTAGTTGCTTGCAGCCATTGAGACCACAAAGCAGGCTAAAGTATAGGGGCCCAGTTTAATTCAGCAAGTGATGCTGAAATCTGAATGAGATCATGGATTGAATCAGTGTGGAGATCCTGGATGTATGTAATATTGTGCTTTATCTTTGCAAAATGTTACCACCAGGGGAACTGGGTTAAATGCACAGAGATCTCTATTCTTAACTGAAGGTTAGTCTACAATTATTTAAATAATAATTTCAATTAAAGAAAAAAATGAAGCTGGAGTTTAGTAGTAGAAATACTCAGAAGGGCCCAGAGCAGTGGCTTACAATGTCAGTAAGTCCTAGGTTGAAGTCTTCACTCACTTGCCCTGTAAGATTTGAGGATGCCCTTGGTCTCTCTATGTAGTTCAGCCTGGCCTTGAACTCAACTAAATACCCTAGGTTGGCCTTGAACTCACAGCAGTCCTCCTGCCTCAGCCTCTCCAGTGCTAGGATTACAGATCTGTGCCACCACGCTCAGTGCCATTTAGAATTATTAACTCTGAATTTGAAGAAAATATTCCTTCTGGGAATGACTGCTGCTTCCTCTTGATATTGAAATTCCTAAGGTTATCTGTCTGTAGTAAGAGAATGTTTCTCCCCTCTTACAGGCAATAGTTTGGGATGAGTACCTAACAGGACCATTTGGCCTGATTGCACAGTATTCACTACTGAAGGTAAACGAGCTCTGTGGGTTTTGTTTGGGGATTAATAATTCTGACTTCAGCAGTGACAGTAGGATTTTACATTTCCTTCCTACTAATTGACTTGCACAACAGTGTTTGATCTGTACAAACACCGATACTAGCAGGTGATTAATGTTTTGTATGCAGGGGCCTGTGCAGATCCTCGTGTTATGTGACCAGTACTTGTGTCCTCAGTAGTTCATCATGTCTGAGTCATTTGAATGCCGATGCAGTAGCCTTGGCTTTATCCTGAAACTTATGTATTTGGCTTGGCCGGGGTGGGGAGGTAGGGGATGGGGATTCCTACATTTTAATAATAAACTATTATCATGCATTTGATTGGGAATATGAGTGATTTTTGAGCCACAAAATGATAAGTTTCAGGGTTTTTGTTAACCTTCTATGCATGTGTTTTTCTAGGAACATGAAGTGGAAAAAATGTTCACACTTAAAGGAAGTCGTTTGCCACCGGCTGATGTCAAGAATATTATTTTTTTTGTCAGACCCAGGCTAGAATTGATGGATATAATTGCTGAAAACGTGCTCAGGTATCTCAGTGCTTATGTTAGGTGAAAGAGCTTGGTCCTTATAATGGTTTTAATGTACTGAGCTCCTTCTTCTCACAAATTCTCACTCCTCAGTGGATTGGAAGGTGGTCTTTTGGAAAACTGGGCAGGGATGGAATGGTGTAAGAAGGAGGATAGGAGGTGGGCGAGGTTGTGCACTCCTGTGATTCCAGGACTCTGGAGGCTGAGGCAGGAGGATCGACGTGAATTTGAGGCCAGCCTGAGGTACATAGTGAGACCAAGACCAGCCTGGGCTACAAAGCAAGACCCTGTCTCAAAACAAAACAAACAAACAAAAATTTTTTTAAAAAAGGAGGAGGATGAGAAACTTGTGAAGTCCTAAACAGTTTGAGATGGGGGCATAGCACATAACCCCATTCTCTTGGAATAGCCAAAAGTTTAAACCTATATCAGAGCAAAGGACCCTAGTTTTATTTTTTTAAGCCTTCTAATGGTTATTTTCCAATTAATGTAATGTGCTTGAATTTCATAAGCTGATTAAAATTTAATGTAGCATCCACTCTTTAGAGGAAGCTCTCTATGCACAGTCTGCGCTCTGGTACAATTGATTGATGCAGCCCTTTACATCCTAAAAGCCTCTGGGCTATTTCTGGAGTCCACTGAGAAGGAGCAAAGAGGCTGGGAGTCAGGAGTGATCTCTCAATTTAATATGAGACTGTTGTTGCATTGGTCCGGTTAAGGAACCATTTATTTTCTGAAAGACACTGGTATCCTGTTTTAATACACCCGAGAGCTTAATGCCCCATAATGGCTTAAGAGAATGTTAGAAGAAAAGCCGCAGAGTACTGGCTGTAACTCAGTGCTGCTTTCCTGTTTGGGGGTAGCAGAAAGAGAGCACAGGACTGTAACCCTTTAGGTCTGAGAGTCAGTGTTCTTGTTTACTTAACCAGGGTCCAGGGTCTGATGTGCAGCTGGAAGTGGGCATAAAATAAGCCAAATAGTCTCTGACCCTTACAAGCATTTAAGCGAATCCATCTTCTTTCCTTTGCAGTGAAGACAGACGTGGCCCAACAAGAGATTTCCACATTTTGTTTGTGCCACGCCGTAGCTTGCTGTGTGAACAGCGGCTGAAGGACTTGGGGGTCTTGGGATCCTTCATCCACAGGGAAGAGTACAGTTTAGATCTTATTCCATTTGATGGGGATCTCCTATCCATGGAGTCCGAGGGTGCATTCAAAGTAAGTTTGGCCTTTCCCTGACATCAGACTTTAATTTTTGCCCAATGTATGAGAACAGAAGTGTCTCAATATTATTTTCATTTGTATTCCGTGACCCTTTGAAACTGAAGCTCATTTCATATGTTCATTGATGTTCAAGATGTTCTCTTCAAGTCAAGTGTGGTGGCGCACACCTGCAACCCCAGCACTCTGGAAAGCTGAGGCAGGAGGATCCAAGTTTGAGTCCAGCCTGACCAACTTAGAGAGGCACTGTCTCAAAAGTAAAAAATTAAAAAAAGGACTGAGATGTAGCTCAGTGCAAAGGCCCTGGGTTCAATCCCTGGTACCACCAAAGAAAGAGAGAAGAAAAGAAAAAGAAAGCATGAATGTTATTTGAAGAAGTATTTGCCAATATTTTTCTTCCTTTAATTTTCATGTTAGCGCTTGGTACTGGGATCAAACTTGGGTCCTTGCACTTGCAAGGCAGGTGGCAAAACCACTGAGCTAAATCCCCAGCCCGTGTTAGCTCTGTTTTAATCAGGAGTTTTAAGTAGTTTTGCCAGAAAGATGTCTCAGGCATCCTCTGTCATGGCCTGCCACGTGCAGGGCACTTTCTAGCAGCAGCACTTTAGTGACACTCACCTTGACATCTTTTTCAAGACACCTTCCTCCTCCTCCCTGCACAGAGCTCCCGAGAGCTCCACTTACCCTCCCTCAGTCCCCAGGCCCTCGCTGCCTTCCTGCTCCTGGCCCTACACCCTGGGGACTCTGGGGTAGCAGTGCTTATGAAACTTGACCCTGGGGTATACCAGCCCTGGGTGCCATTTTGGCCTAGAAGTGCTTGATGATGATTAAAAAAAAAAAGTCCCAGCAATTCTCATTTTACATCTTATTTTTCTTTTTCTGGAAGTACTGGGGATGGACACCAGGGTACATCACTACTGTGCTACATCCTCAGCCCGTTTTATTTTTTATTTTGAAGCAAGGTCTTTCTAAGTTGTCCAGGCTAGCTAGAACTTGTGATCCTCCTGCCTCAGCCTCCTGAGTGAATGAGAGCCCATCCCTGATTCGGTCTTTATTCATCACGGTTTCAAGGCGAGTTCATGAATGAAGAAGAGCTGAGGGTGGGCTCACACTTCTTGGCACCAGTGCAGGGAGAGTGGCTTCCATAACCGGCCCTCCGGAGAGCTGGAGTCCTCATGTCCCTGCAGAAGCAGGAAATGGTTTTATTGTCCACAAACAGAGGCGGGCATTGGGCAGCTCCCAGCTGGTGACCATGGCCCGGCCTTTCTCCCCGCAGGACTGCTACCTGGAGGGCGACCAGACGAGCCTGTACCATGCAGCCAAGGGGATGATGACCCTGCAAGCTCTGTACGGAACGATCCCCCAGATCTTCGGGAAAGGGGAGTGTGCCCGGGTGAGAAGCAGCCCTGTCCAGATTGGTGAGGGAGGAGGGAAGGGGAGCGGCACAGATATAGTGGACCCTCGCTGTGCAAGAATTCTATGTCTGGGAATTTGCCTCCTCCCTCCTGTGCGCGCGTGCGAATCCCCGAGTCAGCACCCCCAATGCTCTGTGGATGCAGAGTTGTGAGAAATTTGTCACCATAGAGCATGTTCCCAGCTGAGGGCTGCCAGCAAGGTGACACTCTGCCTTCTTGTTTGAGCTCTTGAATGCAAGCAAGTGTCTCTTCCTCATTCTGCTTAGCAGCGTGGTTCAGCACCAGGTGAGGCCCCGACCAGTGTCTAATGGAGAAGAGGGCATGTTCCACAAGCTTCATTCAGGCCAGGGTTACGGAGCTGTGGTTGGCTGTGAGTTCAGTGTGAATGACTCAGCAATACCCATGAAGTCAGGGGTCTGTAAACACATGTAAAGCAAGGCTGTATATTGATCAGGTGATGAAAGTCATGATGGGGCTCTTGGGTTCCTAAGTGTATGTCCCCTAGGAAGAGTGGTTCAGTATCGGCTAATTCAGTGTCAGCGTGACTTTGTAGAACACAGCTTCCTCAAGTGACAAGCACAGACTGTCTGATACTGCCACCCAGGGAGGTGGCAACCATGGGCTCCAAGTGTTGGGATGGGTGGCAGACAGCAAATGCTGTTTGTTTGTTTCTTTGTTGGTTTGTTTTGCATTACTGGGAATAAGCCCAGAGCCTGGTGCATGCTGGGTTAAGTGCTCTACCACTGAGCTAAATCTCGAGCCCAGCAAATGCTTTTTTTTTTGTTACCGGGGATCGAACCCAGGTCTTGCGCTTGGGAGGCAGGTGCTGGAACCACTGAGCTAAATCCCTGGCCCCTAGCAAATGCTTTTTGATAGCTATTAATTTCTTATCAATCTCACTTTTGAACTTTTTCCCTTTTTTTATTCTTTTGATTGTCTGTGTTTTTGTTTTGTTTTGTTTTTGCAGTGCTGGGGATTGAACCTAGGGCCTTGCACACACTAGGCAAGTGCATTACCACTAAGCTACATCCCCATGTCTTTCTGGTTTTAGCTGAGTTTAAAAATCTAGTTCCCAGGAGGGCCCCACCTGATTCAATATTTTGTTTCCAGCAAGTGGCCAACATGATGATCAGGATGAAGAGAGAGTTTACAGGAAGCCAGAATTCAATATTTCCTGTTTTTGATAACCTCTTGTTGATTGATCGAAATGTGGATTTATTAACACCTCTAGCTACTCAGCTCACATATGAAGGACTCATTGATGAAATTTATGGCATTCAGAACAGTAAGTAAAGTGACATCTGCTTTTACTAGTAGATAATTTGATAAAAATATCCTTTATGTGGAGAATACCATTTTTATGTTGCATACTTGGGATTTATTTGAACTTAAAGATAAAACTTATAATGATGATTTTTAAAATGTAGATTAATATAAATCCTTTGGAAGCAGTTTGGCAGTATGTAAAACTTTAACTCTTGGTTCTAAGAAAATCCAGAGTCTGAGGATGTCCCTTGAAGAATTGTTCAAAAAATGGAGAAGGGGAGATTTGTATAAAATCTGTCATTTATTTTCCAGAATTTTCTAAATAATCCAAATCATTGAGAACATTATAAAATATTATGGAATCATTAAACTAATAAATGTGGAAAATGAAAAAGTGTATAGCCAAATTTATTTTGATTATATATTTTATTTGTGTATATGTCTATAATATATAAAATGACCAAATAGTGTCTAAAAAAGGAAAATGACTGGATGAGGAATGATTAGATGATGCCTCCAAAAGGTTAAAATATTTAAAAAATTTATTTACTTACTGATAGTAAGCACCTCAGACTCAGAGTAACTCTATCAGTGAGCTGCATCGCCAGCCGTTTTTAAAAATTTTACTTTGGGACAGGATCTTGCTAAGTTGGCCAGACTGGCCTCTTAACTTGAGACCCTCCTGCCTCACCCTCCCTGTTAGCTGGGATTATAGGCATATGTCATGGACCCCATCATTTCTTTGTTTGTTTGTTTTGTTTTGTTTTTTGAGACAGGGTCTCTCCATGTAGTTCAAGCTGGCCTTCAACTCACTGTGTAGCCCAGGTTGGCCTTGAACTCGTGGGGATCTTCCTGCCTCATCCTTCCCAAGTGCTGGAGTTACAGGCATGCGCCACCACGCCCAGCCTTCTGAATTGCCTTTCAGACTATTTCAGACTGCAACCTGCAGTAACAAGTATATTTATATCATCCTTAAGTGCTTGTACACACACACACACACACACGCATGCATGCATGTGTGTGGGTTTGTATAAAACAAACAGCAGTTTTATTCAAAACGAAACAACCAGAAAGCCACCATTGTCTTCCCTTACTTCATGTGCTGCACACTAGTATTTTATTTTGTTTGTTGCTATTGTTTTGTTTCAGTGCTCCTTGCTTCCCACCAGCTTGATTTCATTATATGCTAATGGGACATGACCTATACAGTTTGACAACCACTGGAATGCCAGGTGTGGTGGCTCATGCCTGTAATCCCAGCGCTTGGGGAGGATGAGGCAGGAGAATTGCTACGAGTTCAAGTTTGAGGCCTGCCTGGGCTACATAGTGAGTTAAAGGCCAGCCTGAACTACACACCAAGACCTTGTCTCAAAAAACCCAAAAAAAACAGCAAAAAAGGAAAACCACTAGAAGACAATGAGGGAAATCTCTATAGATTTGAGTGGAAAGGTGACCTAATTCCTAAGTTTAGGAATTAGGTCACCACTGCTCCAAAGAAAATTAGAGCTGTGGTTTCCATCATACAGAGTCACTGCTTCCTGTTCTTAGATTGTGGGAACTAAAAACTCAGAGCTATATGCCATTTTCTTCTAAAGCTGGCTCCCATTCTCTGTTGAGATGGAAATTAAGTTTTGTGCTTGGGCACTTGATTCTTGGTTCTTCCAGTCATTACACACCGGTGCATGGCTCCTTCCACTGTGCAGGTTATGTGAAGTTACCCCCGGAGAAATTCGCGCCTAAGAAGCAGGGTGATGGTGGGAAGGAGCTGCCCACGGAGGCGAAGAAGCTGCAGCTCAATTCTGCAGAGGAGCTCTACGCTGAGATCCGAGACAAGAACTTCAATGCAGTGGGCTCCGTGCTCAGCAAGAAGGCGAAGATCATCTCTGCGGCCTTTGAGGTGAGACACGCATTGGTTATCACCTTGGTGGTCTCTGAGTGTCCAGCCCAAAGAGAACAGGACTGGCTCTGGCAGGGCTTCAGTGCCAACACAACCCTCCCACCCTCAGCAGCTGCAGATTCAAGAGGACCCAAAGTTTTCTTTCTGTTAAAACTTTTTCCTAGACCTGGGCATGGTGGCACACATCTGTAATACCAGCACTTGGGAGGCTGAGGCAGGAGGATCTCTGTGAGTTCTAGGCCAGCCTGGGCTACATAGTGGGTTCAAGGCTGGCCTGAACTACATAGGGAGATTCTGTCTCAAAAACAAAAAGTAGGGCCGGGGATTTAGCTCAGTGGTTCTGCCGCCTACCTTGAAAGCATAAGGACCTGAGTTCGATGCCTGGTACCACAAAAAAACAAAACAAAACACAAAAGTAATGTTTCCCCAGACCCATGGTGGAAAAGGTTGTGTTAAAGTTTTCTCCTTTTTTAGATGTCATGGGGGCACCAAAGCATTTGTGATTAATAAGCTTTTCTCGTAAACGGTTTCGTTATCTTCGTTTAAGTTGTTTCCCACTTTCCTTAAGAGGAAGCCAGCTGTACCAAGAATAAAAGCTCCTCAGTGATGAACTTGCAGTTCGTGATGCGTCTCCAGGTGCCCACGAGTGGGTGCCAAGGGACCTGCACGCGAGCCGGGTGATAATGAGCTCCAAAGCCTGGCCACCCGGAGCGCCGAGACCGGAGCCTTCATTATCACCTCCTGCCTCCTCTTGCCCGTTCGCTGGTGTCGAGCTCCTCTTTGAAACATGGGAATTTAGTAAGCTGATAATAAGTAAGGTGATAGCTGAATAGTTAGACTTCAGAGATGTGAATTAGAGGGTTTTGAAAACTCTTCTTTCTCTAAGTATGTAGTTCAGGTTTTTACTTTTCTTAGGAATTATATTCAGGGCCGGGGATTTAGCTCAGTGGTTTTGCCACCTGCTGCACAAGTGCAAGGACCCGAGTTTGATCCCCGGTACCAAAAAAAAGAAAAATTATATTCAGTAAGTGATTTTTCAGATTTCTGATGATGCTCCTGGTTGAGACCAGTTTGCCTCTAAATACGTCCTTGTTGCTCAGCGAGGTTCACTTTGCTTTTAGGCTGTACTCAGGGCTGAGGTGTGGCAGCAGGGCTGGATCTGTTTCTACCACACAGGAGGTTTTTTACTGGTTGTGGTTGCTTCTGCATATGACCTAATTTTTTCATCTTAGTTTTTGGCTTTTGAGACAGGGTCTCGCTGTGTAGTTCAGGATGGCCTTGAACTCATGGCCATCTTCCTGCCTCAGCGTCCTGAGTACTACAATTTTAGGCATGGCATATGCCCAGCCATCTTAGTTTTTTTACTTAGAAATTTGTATGATTTCCGCAACACCATCCCCCGCTAGTGGTCAGGTGCTCACAAAATCCTGGACACTGTGGGTGAACTGCTGCATAGGGAAGGAGAATCAGAGGCGTTCACTCTCTAGAGAAGCACGAACATGGGAAACAGGCACCACGAGCTCTTGCTGTGATGTATTTATTTTTCTGTTATTCAGTATAATGTTGGAGTTAAGAGTTGACCTGATTTTTGTGTATTGCATTCTTTCTTTCACATTATTATTATAAATGACACATCCCCTGACTTAGCTGCCCTACCTGATGAGCTGCCGCCTCCCCCTTGCAGGAGCGACACAATGCCAAGACGGTGGGGGAGATCAAGCAGTTTGTGTCCCAGCTGCCCCACATGCAGGCAGCCAGGGGCTCGCTCGCAAACCACACCTCAATTGCAGAGCTGATCAAAGATGTGACCAGTAAGTACCCTTGGGTATGATTCTTTCTGTCTAGGGCTGACTCTCACACATAGTGCTGACGCCCTGGCCATTGGCATGCTGATGCTTCCCTGGGAAAATCAGCTCTGGTTTTTTGCCAGGAGGCCATGCTGGGGCTGGAACCCAAGCCCTTAAGCATGCGCAGCGTGTGCTTTACCACTGAGCCAGCCCGAGCCCAGTCAGCTCTGCTTTTTCCTTCTGTGTGCCTCTCAGTCCCAAGTGTGTGCATGGTAAGAGTGGTTAACTCATTTTTGTTTGTTTGTTTGCTTTTTGTTTTTTGAGATAGGGTCTTGCTATGTAGTTCAGGGTGCCCTTGAACTCACTATGTAACCCAGGCAGGCCTCAGACTTGTGGCAATCCTCCTGCCTCAGCCTCCTGAGTGCTGGGATTACAGGTGTGCACCACCACACCCAGCCCAGTTAACTCATTTTATGATTAATTAGAGGACAAAATATTTGGAATATAGAGAACAAATTTGTCCCTAAGATTGTCCTCATCATAACATAAGGCAATTAATTTTTTTAGTCTAGTTTTTTCCCCCTTTATTGTGAGGGACTACTTAGAGCAACATATTTCTGTGTGTTTTTTGGTTTTTTTTGGTGCCGGGGATCGAACTTGGGACCTTGCGCTTGCGAGGCAGGTGGCAGAACCACTGAGCTAAATCCCTGGCCCTAGAGCAACATATTTCTGTATTTTTGGTTTCCCTTAAAAGTTTTCTACAGAATTGGTACAGAGAGCCCAATCTGATTATTTTGGAAAAACTCAGATTTATATTAAACACAAAATACAAGGCTGTAAAAGCTGAGTAGGAGATTGTTCAACACCCAGTTTTATGAAGTGTACTTGGAATCTTAAACACAATGTAGAAGCATCTGGAGTGGTGGCACATGCCTCTAATCCCAGCACTCTGGAGGCTGAGGCAGGAGGATTGCTCCAACTTTGAGAGTTCAAGGCCAACCTGAAATACATAATGAGACCCTGTCTCAAAAAAAAAAAAAAACCCAAAGTGAAAGTTCTTGGGAAATTTGTTTTTATTGATACTGAGACTTATCCTGCAAAATTCCGTCATCTGTATTTAAATCCTAGGGACAGCAAGAAAGTACAGTACTCAGCCATGTCTGAATGTAATTCAGCAGTTCAGAGTTCAAGGATTTTCCACATGTCTTAGATGAGTCTCTTTGGGTGATGATTTGAACTCAGGCCTGCTTTCCTTTTTGGATGTTTTGTTTCTTAATCATGCTTCGTGTATAAAAGCACACCCTTCAAATAAGTTAACATTTATTGAGTTTCTGAGTTGCCAATTTGCTAATTCTTTTTTAGCTTCTGAAGACTTCTTTGATAAATTAACAGTGGAACAGGAGTTTATGTCTGGAATAGACACTGATAAGGTATGTAGACGATAAAACCACTCTAACAAATAGCTGAAAGTTTTTCAGACATGTAGTGATAGTCACAGAAACAAATGCTCTGATTTCTGTACCTTGTCTAAATATTTTTAGGAACAAATGCAAAATGTGAAAACAGGAATGTTATCGAAGAACAGCTATTTAACATTACTTTAATCCTTTCTGTAGTACATGGTGAGATGAGACCTGTTCCCTGAAATCCAAGATTTCTAAGCACTGTAGTACATAAATTAAGATCTTAGCTCAGTGGTAAGAGCACCTCCTTAGCATGCATGAGGCCCTAGGTTCAGTCCCCAGCACTGCCAAAAACAAAACTAAGATACTTGCTTTTGAGATATTTATTTATATTTCTTTAAACATTTAGCTCTAAAAATGTATTTAGCTCTATTAAATTTTAAATTAAAATTATGAAAACACCCATCTTCTAAAAATATTCCTGGGCCAGGGATGTAGCTCAGCAGCACAGCACCTGCCTGACAAGCGTGAAGCCCTGAGTTCTAATCCTGGTACCAAAAAAACAACAAAAATACAATAAAAATATCCCATTACCCGCTTCTAGATAAGTTGTTGCTGTTTGGGACGTAGGCGAGGACACAGAAGCCCTAGGCATTTGGCAGCCTCTCACAGGGGTGTCCACAGAGATAGCTGTCTCGCAGCAGGCATTGCGATTGGCTGATGCTGTCCTTGCTGCCTGGTGCCCCTGTAATTTGGTCTGATAACTGGTGTGTTTGTGCATTGGCTGGGTCGGGGGCTGGAGGGTGGGGGTGGGTGGGTAGGTGCCAGGTCGGTGAGCTACCTCACACAGGGGCTAGGGAATGAGAGAGAAGAGGGAGCCATTCTCCTGCACATTTCCTTTCTTGGACTTAGAAAAATATGAGTAAATCTCAAATTGTTTAAATCACTGAAGAAGGTAATCTATGTATGTACTTTGTTTCTAGGTCAACAATTACATCGAGGATTGTATTGCCCAAAAGCACCCACTGATCAAAGTGTTAAGGCTGGTTTGCCTCCAATCCGTGTGCAACAGTGGACTCAAACAAAAAGTTTTGGATTATTACAAAAGAGAAATTCTCCAGGTAGTACATTTTAAAATATTTTAGTTTGCCAAAAGAGAAAATGTCTTTTAAAAAAAGTATTTCACAAAGGTACTGTTTTGGTTTATCATTACCACTGGCCTTTAGATTTTTCAGCACCTAAAAGAATTGTTCTATCATTGTTTATTGTACCTTGTGTATAATAACAGTGGTGAACGATCATTGAACATTTACTATGTGCCAGGATCTATTAGAAGAGCTTTATTTGTATGCGGTTAATACTCAAAATAACCCTGTGTCTTAGCTGTTGTTGTCCTCATTTTATAGATGAAAATCTGAGCCATAGACTAATGATGTGACTCTCTCAAGGCCATCTGGCTCGTAGGTGGCAGAGCCAGCACCAAAAACCAGGCCACATAGACCTAGCACTCATTTTCTTTTTCTTTTTTTTTTTTTATGTGGATTATATTTTATTGGTACATGTTAGGTATACAATATAATGACATTCCTCATTGGAAATTTGCACCTTTACATAATCTCTCTTGGTTCTTATTTTTCCCCCTTCCCCTGCCCTCCCTTCAACCCCTCCGCTCCTCCCTATTTACACTTTATTTCCATTTTTTCATTTTCTCATATTAATTCCATTCCCTTCTTTTCTTCCCCCAACCCCTTCCACTTCCCCTGCCCCTTTGCCCCTTTTCTTCCTATTTCACATTATCTATTGTACCTTTTAGTCCTTATTTACACTTTCAGATTCTCACAGTAGAGAAGCTATTCAGTATTTACACATGCGTGTCCTGTTTATTTCACTTAAGAGTATGGCCTCAACGTGCATCCATTTAGCAATAAATGTCTCTAATCTCTCATTTTTAATGGCTGAGTAGTACTCCATTTTATTTAAAAAAAACATTTCCTTTATCCATTCTCCAGTTGATGGGCAATTGGGCTGCTTCCAAGTTTTAGCTATTATAAATTGTAGCACTCATTTTCTTAATGAATTGGTTAGGTAATGAAGAAAGAGAAGTTTTTGCAAACTTCTGACAACAGTTGCTTAGTAGATTTAAGTCTTTTATTTTATCATAAGGAAAATCCCACTGCTGTTTTTAAAATTCTCCCCTCTGAAAATGTCTCAGGCAGTATTTGCTATTATCAGTGACTGGTAGGAAATATGTTACTATTAAAATTAAGTATTCATGGGGCCAAGGATTTAGCTCAGTGGCGCCACGCCTGCCTCGCGAGCACAAGGTTCTGAATCTGATCCCTGGTACTGGAAAAAAGAGATGCATTTTCATAATATTCCAACAGTGCAGAAGCATAGGGAGCAAAATACAGACATCTCCCACCTCTGAACGCACTTCTGTTTTCCTCCCCAGATGTGACTCATGTCAAAAATTTGGTTTGTCTTCTTCCAGCCTCTCAACTTCGAGTGTGTATCAAAAATGCTTATGGGGCCAGGGATTTAGCTCAGTGGTTCTGCTGCCTGCCTTGCAAGTGCAAGGTCCCAAGTTCGATCCCTGGTACCAAAAAAAAATGCTTATGTACTTTGGGGTGAGACTGGCTAGGGGCCCAGCTCTGCTGTCACTGTGTGACCTTCGGCAAGTTATTAAACATCTCTATCAAATGGAGACAGTAACAACAACTGTGTCTTGGGATCGTTAAATAGGAAGTACTTAGACCAGAACATGCTTAGCTCATGTAAAGTATTACATAAGCCAGGTGTGGTGGCGCACTCCTGTGATCCAGCACTAAAGAGGCTGAGGCAGGAGGATTGCCGAGTTCAAGGTCTGTCTGGGTTCCATAAAGAGTTCAAGCACAGGCTGAACTACATAGCAAGACCCTGTCTCAACCAAAAAATAAAACAAACCTACTTTACATAATATTTTATTACCATCTTTTTGTCCTTAAGAGTATATCCAGGAGATCATTCTTGTCAGGCCGTATAGATCTGCCTCGTTCTTTTAAAATAATCATTACATCACGTATATAAGTATATTATATTTTATTTGGTGCTCAGGGTGTTCCTAGTAGTTTTGACTTTATTTCACATCCCACTTTGAAATAATGAGTTGAGGGCCGGGGATTTAGCTCAGTGATTCCGGCGCCTGCCTCGCAAGCGCAAGGTCCTGAGTTTGATCCCCAGTACCAAAAAAAAAAAAAAGAAATAATGAGTTGGGCACACAATTTTAGCAAGTCCCCTCCCCCGCTGTCCCTGTCCTCATCCGTGGTCATTGCTAGACCTTGCTAATGTACCCCGAAGCAGGACCCAGACTGATCTGTGGGAAGTCTCTTTGCTTTTAGAATTTTTATTTCAGTGTAGTACAAGTAGATATTAATAAAGAAGATATTTTTAAAAAGTATGAAAAAATAAGGCAAAATTTCATAATAAAGAATAACAATATTTAATATACTGTGTACCATAAGCTTAAAAGAATGACCAAAATGTTAGAGTAATAGACAGAAAACTCTTACCAAAAAAAAAAAATAGATAATAGCATAAAACTTTCTTTTCAATGAACTAAGAGGACCTAGCGGTATAAATAAAACAAATTAGCATATATGTTGAAAAAATTTTGAAACCGTGCAGTATATAATTTGGGAAATTACTAGAACGTCTCTCTACTTCCTGTTTCTCTATCTTCTTTTTGTTATTTTTTTTAACATTTAATAGAAATTGCGTACAATAAATTTTTACTGTATTGTACATAAGATAGCCACCACAGCAATTTACATAGATTAGAAGGAAGATAGGTGGCTAAGGAGGGCCTAGTCCTGTGGGATATTTTCTCAGACCATGAAAGTCAGAGTTCAGTGGGAGAAAAAGGTTCAGACTGCCAGATTAAGTGGATGTTAAAAAAAAAGCTAAAACACAGGCCTTTGGGTAGATAACCAAATGCTGGGATCACCGCTATTTCAAAGGCGCCATTCTTAAAACAGCCCCCATCCAGTCATCTGTGTGGATCCTAACACATACTTGAGTGCCGTGGTGTTTCTCTGGTGTGAGAAACCGAAAGTGGAAATAAGGACCAGAACTGGGGAGAATGGTTCGTTAGTATCACAAAACTGTGGGTCTCTTCCTATTCTGGGCAAGGAAGAGAGGTCATCCTTATGTCCGGGATTGAATGAGTGTTTGAGACTTTTCCTAATGGGACAGACATCTTTCGAATGGTATTTCCTGAGTCACGGGCAAGAAGCCCTTTTCCTGATCTGACACCAAAGCCAAGTGACTTGTCTCGTAGACCTATGGCTATGAGCACATCCTGACCTTGCACAACCTCGAGAAGGCTGGGCTGCTGAAGCCGCAGACCGGGGCCAGGAACAGTTACCCCACAATTCGGAAAACGCTCCGCCTCTGGATGGATGACGTTAATGAGCAGGTCAGACACCCTTCTCTGCTTAAACCCTGGTTAGTTATGGTTACATGGTTCATCGAGGTCACACGTGCTGCTTTATCATCATAGCCGTCTTTCTTTCTGAAAACAATTCTCTCATTTATTGTTTATTGAAGTGTTTCTAAATTTCATCTTCTCACTGCCATTTTTGGTTTTTCATAAACATCTTTATTGGGCTACCTTTTGCAACAAGAGCCTATATCTAGACAGTTCTTCTCTATCAGTAGCAAAATTGGGTTACTTTTCCCAGTAGGAAGATAGATTCCCTTAATTCTCTGTGCTATCATCTGCATATTAGTTCAGCTCTCTTTGCTGTTCTGACCTCTCCCCCGCAAATCCACCCATACCACTTAATGGGCGATCTTGAAGATCCTTCATTGATCTACCTCATTTTTTCTGATTCTTTTCAATTGCTACCGAGTGGAGTTTTTGTTTTGTTTTTGTTTCTTTCTGTGCTGGGAATTGAGCTTAAGGCCTTGCACATGCTAAGCACACACACATTCTACCACTGAGCTGTGTCTGTGAAAAGGTCTTAAGTTTACACTTTTTTTCGTGATTTAAAGTAGAAATTCAGGTTGTTTCCAGCCTTTTGCCATTACAGTGATGAAGTTCATATGATTATCCTTTGTTTTATTCTCTGGTGGTCTACAAGTCCCTCTGAAGGATAAACGCCTAACAGTAGAATTTTGGGGTTCAGAAGTTACATGCATTGTTTTTCAGCTAGAGGGCCAAGGTGGCTTCTCAGAAACTTCTTGCTGAACCTGGTAGTTTTTCATCTTCAGTGCCCAGAGCTCCTTTGAGTGGCTTTTCAAGATTTGAATGAAGCCTGGCTGCTGAGAACAGAGCCCATTTGGGCTGGATTGCGACAGGACTTGGGCAAGGGGGTTGTTTGAGTTTCTGCCTTCTAATCCCTTATTTTGGATTACTCAGAAGATCACAGGTGCTCTAAATCTCTATTATTTTGGGTCTTTTTTTCCTTTCATTACTGAACAGAACCCCACGGACATATCCTACGTTTACAGTGGTTATGCACCGCTCAGCGTGCGACTGGCCCAGCTACTGTCCCGGCCCGGCTGGCGGAGCATTGAGGAAGTCCTCCGCATACTCCCGGGGCCCCACTTTGAGGAACGCCAGCCACTGCCCACGGGGCTGCAGAAAAAACGTAAGTCCCATATGGCATCTATGGATAACTATGAGCTGTTAGTGTGGTTTTCATGTATTGCGTAGTTGCTGTGTAAAAGACATTTGTAAAGTACTCAGGAATCACAGTCAGGTATACCGCTTTTGTTAGTTGCTAATGTATATCGTAAGCATTCTTCCCTCGGGAGTAGCGGTTTTCAGTCTCTGCTTCAAGGCTCTCCAGAGTTAGAAAAAGCATTGAGATCAAAATCAGTGTTCTTGAGTTTCAGATGAACTCTCTGGCTCAGGGCACACTTGACTTTTTTATTGCTAGCAATGAAAAAATATTTGGAGGCAGAAAGACAAGTACAAGTAATACTTCTGAATTCTGAACTGTTTACACTTTAGGGCAACCAGGAGAAAATCGAGTCACTCTGATATTTTTCCTCGGGGGTGTAACCTTTGCTGAAATTGCTGCCCTGCGGTTTCTGTCCCAGTTGGAAGATGGGGGTACAGAGTATGTCATCGCCACCACTAAGCTAATGAACGGAACCAGCTGGATAGAGGCTCTGATGGAAAAACCTTTCTAGGGTGTTCAAAGATTTGATAAGTGCACTGCAGAATAAACTGCCTCTTTGAAGAAGTTGCTGGAAGGAAGGGAAACCCAATAGAAGAAACAGAAATATGGAAGTCGAAGTCATTACTTTGGGGTCTGTTTCTTACACTGCTGTTTTCTCCTTCCTGCTTCTCTTTTGTGTTCTTAATCACTTGAAGAAAGAAGAGGAGGATCTGCCTGGGTAAAAGAGACAATGGTTTTGAATTTTCTAAGCTCAGGATCTTCATTCTAGGTCTCTGGGAATACAGCAAAGATCTTGGGGATGGAAAATCCTTACAGCCCCACAAATGGAGGCAGTTCTTAAAATAGGAAAGCAGAGACTGAGGAGGTAAAAACAAACAAAGTGGAAAGTCCAACCCCCAGTCCCCAGCACTATATTTCTGGAAGATGGATCATGCTTAGGATGTGGTCTAGTGGTTATGTGTTCAGGTAATGTCCCTGAGTGGTTTCTTTTTCCTGAAGAGGAAGGCACATTATATTTGTGTCTCTCTTATCTGATCCCTAAGGCAAGTTTTGTTTCCTTCTTAAGAAGCAAGAGGTTTGAGGTAGGTTCTTACCCAGAAACAAAGTTTATGTCCTCTCTGATCAGCTGCATCTGTGTAGGTGCCACACCTATCAAGAGCTTTCTGCATTGATGATCAAAATAATTGGGGAGCAGCTTCCAGAGCACTCAGCCATTCAAAGACACTTTCTTAGTGCCCATGTTACTATCTCCAAGAATTTCAGTGGTAACTGCCTCCAAAGAGATGTTATTTATTATTCCTCGGACCCACCTTCCAGCTGGTTCCACCGTGAGCAGTGGAACTCTTACTTCTTCAGCATCCTGCCACTCTGTCTCTGTGGTAACTGCCACATGTGCTCCTCGAGTAGTCTGTGCCCACGTGGACTGAGCCTCTTGCATCCATTTTGCTCTGCTTCGGTCCCTGGCCCGGTGACCTCAGTCACTTCTGATTGAGCTTATTGACAGAGTCACAGCTGCCCCTCCTGCTGGGGCTGTTGGCTGTGATGGAGAGCAAGATGTCGAGGTCCATGCACATTCCTCACCTCGATCCTCATCCCAGCATCTGGAGGAGTTCAGAGTGCCAGCAAGGGACCAAGTTGATGGCTTTTCTGCCGTTGCCCAGGTACCCAGCAAAATTAGCTGCTTCCCAGCCTGGCCGGGTCCCATCCCAGTTGTGGTTTCTGTTATTAATCACCAGCCACACATTTTTCTCTCACCTTCTCATTAGTGGAATTCTGATGGCTATGTTGCATGTTATGAGAGGGAGAAGTTCTGTATTTTAAAAAAGAAAACCCTGGGCCTGGGCCGGGAATTTAGTTCAGTGGCACCTCACCTGCCTCGTAACCGCAAGGTCCTGAGTTTGATCCCTGGTACCAACCCCCCCCCCGCCCCCATTTAGTATAAGAATGAAGGGTAGTGGAGATGTTTAAAAGATTAGTTTCTCACGGAATTAATTTGGGCTTGACATTCAGTGTTTGGAAATGGAAAACCATTCCCGAATAGAAAGCCATTCTTATTTAGAGAATCCTTTTTCAAATACTTGTTATCCCAGGGAGATTAATTTATACCTTTGAGCCCTGGCAGTTGTTAGCCTCAGCTGCTTAAGAGAATGAACCCACCTTACCTCTCAATGTTTTTGGCTCAAGGGACTCAATTCAAGTCTGGTCAGGACTGCTTGGCGGGGGTTTTATCCTGTGAACAGATTCTCAGTTGTAGGCTCCTGTGTCTGCATTCTCTTATGACTCTGTACTTGCTCAGGCACAGTTAGGTCAGCTCCTAAAAATGCATTCAGCAGAAGACTTAAACATCAGTTGCTTCATTTGTATAGAAATAGAAAGTGGTTGATAATTATATGTTATATGCCTTTGTGAAAGTTCATTTGATACTTGAAGCTGTCTTTGTCTCAAAGGAGTGTGCCTTAGTAAGAAAGAGTATGTGAATGGTACATTTATTCCTGAAGAGGGTGGATTGTTTACATCATGTCTGGACTTTTGTCTAGTAGGGTAGACAGACAGTTTTGCTACACAAGCCAGTCCCCTTAGAAAAGAAGTCTACATAGACACTGTTTTGTGTCTTACACAGTTTTGAATCTCAGCCAACAGAGAAACAAATATTTTAACTGTGCTTTAATTGTGGAGCAAGAGGTAATGGTTAAGGGAGAAAAGATTAAAATACAGGACATTTAATTCTTGAAGAGAACTGGGAGGGTCTTGGTGTGGATTATGCTCTCTGAGCCCTGATTGTGGTTAATTGGGATGTGCTGCTCTGTCCCCTGTGCTCAGCTGTACATTAAAGACCAGCCGGGGCTGGGGCTGTAGCTTGTTGGTAGAGTGTGTGCTTGGCATGCATGAGGTTTTGGGTTCAATGCTCAGGCTTCTCCCAAGACTGGTCTATCACAGGAAAAAATTCTGTATTTAGTAAAGTTGAATTCAAGTAGAAGTACTTTTTAAAAATATTAAAACGAGGGCTGGTGATTTAGCTCAGTGGTTTCACCGCCTGCCTTGCAAGTGCAAGGTCCTGAGTTTGATCCTCAGTACAAAAAAACCCCCAGTGGCTCTCAAACATATTAAAATGAATCAGATGTCTGAAACAGGAAGAAGGGGCTGTGACAAAGCTATCAAGGTGTGGGAATGTAGACATCACATAGCCTTCCTAGATTCTGAATTGTACTCCAGCATGTGGTGTGTTCAGTTGATTGGTTTAGTGGTGACATATTGTAGAAAATAGAGGATACCTTTTTGTCAGACAGTTGAAAAAGCAGTGATATAAAACTCAGATTCTTGTTTCTAAACAGATTCATGTGAATCTTATGCCATGTGGTGTTTCTTAGCCTCAGTCACCCCAGTGCTGTGAGATACTTCCAACCGGGGGTAAGGAGAGACTGCAAAGTCTAGACCACATCCACTTGAGACACGCTTTGGAAGGATTGAGAGCTAAAAGGGAGCAAAATCGGGCTGACTTTGGACAGCCTGGCTTTTGCATCTGTTACTTTGGTGAGGAGCAAGGGTACAAATCTCAGCCATCCTTTCCTTCCTGTAACTAGGCAGGACATGGACGCCCTTCAGATGACCAGTTCTCTAGGGGAGCAATTACTACTTACTGGCTTCCTGAGCAGCTTGATAATGTTCTGCTCCTGTTTGCAGCCAGGCTGCAGCCGAGGCAGTGATTTGATAATATGAGATCCTGATTAAATTAAGGAGCCATTTGCTCCTGGATGATAATGTTTATAAAAGGGTTGATCTCCACACTGCCTGTCTTTTTTTTCCCAAAGGTCAAAAAAATAGTCTTTAATATCTAGTTCAAGTAAAATATTCAAAAGCAGCATAAAGTTTGTGCTTTCTTTTCCTTCTTTGTTACTTCTGGGAAAGTGTTGCTTTCCCAGGTGGGCCCTTTTGCCTCACATTTGGCAGAGTTGAAGTTGGATGCACTGGGAGGGTGCCTGTGTAATGAGTCTGGAAAGTGCTAAACTGTGAATTAGAGTCAAGCACTGTGGAGCTCTTGGTTACAGAAGCTTGGTTCTCACACATACATGCATGTTCATGCTTGCCTGTACTTTTGAGACAGCAGTGTTTGCTTTAGTCAGGAGTGGATGTGCAATGGTTTGCATTTTTATGCAGTGTTTCTTCCAGTCCCCAGATGACATGGGGGGTGCTCTGTTTGTTGGCACTGTTGGCACGATAGCCCACCCAGAGTGTTTAGACAAGCAGGACAACAAGGGGCTTGAGATGCCTCCCAGGTGTGCCAGTTAACTCCATTTGTGTCACCTTTGGAGAGGTGACGGGTGAAAGGCAGAAGGGGTTGCAGTGCCTGCCTGGCCCAGGACCGCCTGCTGCCCTGTGCAGCTCCTGAGTGCCCGGGAACCGCGCGGAGCTTGTAATTGGCCGCTAGACCACACCTATTATTGAGTGCGGCTGCTGCCTGAAGACCTCAGAGCTGCCTGGATCGCAAGAGTGCACAGCGAGCCTTCGCATAGACCAAGGAGCTTCGGGCTGCCTCTGGCAGGAGTAAGGGAACTTCGCTGAGTGAGTGACACGGGGAGACAGAAGCCAGTGGCCTGCACTGAGGGAAGCTGCAGCCAGGGCTGCAGTAGCTCCCACCTTCTGGTGCCGTCTGAGGGGAGTCAGGGTGGCTGGGACGGTGCATAGGGGCATGTGGAGGGGACAGACCCAGGGAAAGCTTGGCGCCTGCAGCCGCCCTGGGGCTCGGGAGGCAGACTACAGGGAGGACCTAGGGACTCGCTCCAGGGGAGACCTGAGGGCTGCAGGAAGGACCTGGGGGCGACAGGGGGGAACTGGGGACAATAGGGGGGACCTGGAGGCTCGGGGCGGGGGATACGGGGATGCAGGGAGTGGCTGGGGGCCGCAGCTTGCGTGAAGAGGAAGCTTGAGTCTGGGCTGCTGCCTTCTTGGGGCGGAAGAAGGGGCAGCTTTGGCGCTAGGAGTTGGGGCGGTGTGGGAGGCCGCGGCGCCCTTGTCAGTGTCTCCCAGCCGGGGGGCCGCGGCCGGGCACGCTCAGGTCCCCGCCTCCCCAGGCGATGCCGGCCTCGCCCGCCATCCACATGCTGCAGCTTCTGCGGGAGCTGCTGGCCTTCGTGCTGCTCAGCTACACGGTCCTGGTCGGGGCGCTTCTGCTGGCCGGCTGGACCACCTACTTCCTGGTGCTGAAGTGACAGCGCAGCCCGTGTCCCGCCCCGCCCCGCCCTGTCTCAGCCGCTTCCCCAGCTAAAGAACGAACTCTCCGCCTTGTACCCGGGCCCGGACTCCTCTCGATCCACGGCCCTGACCCGAACCCTAGGCCCATGCGCGCGTCGCGATGCGCGACACCGCTCCACACCCAGGTCCCGCGTGGAAGCTCCAGCGGTTGGGCGCCACCTGCGGCGGTTTTCGCCGTTACCCTGAGCCCCGCCCTCGCCCTCCCCCTCTCCCTCCCCCTCCCCCTCTGTCCAATCCCAACTGTGTCCTCGGGCGGGGGCGTGGTCATGAGGCCAAGTCCTCGCCGAGTGCCAGAGTTGGCGCCCCGCCAGAGCCTAGCGGAGCTGCGTCACTTCCGGCGCGTGCGCGACCGGCGGCTGCCAGCCTCGGAATGGCCTCTCTGAGGACTTTGCTGTCGCGGAGCGTAGCCTCCCTGTTCAGGTACTGCTGCTGCCATGGAGATGGGCGGGACGGGAGGGAGGCAGGCGACGCTGAGAGCGCTGTGGCCGGTCCCTGAGCGGCGGCCTTTTGAAAGCTCTTCTCTCGAAAGTCTGAGGACGCCCGCCTCGGTCCCTGGGTCAGGCCAGGTTCCTTTCTTGTTGACGGCTTTCCCGTTATTCTGTGCCCTGAAAGCTGGTCCCCAGCCCCAGGCTGCCGGCCGGCTCCCTTTGCCCCATCGAAGGCCCTCAGGAAATAGCGAGGAGGACCAGGCGTTGGGAAGGGCGCAGGAAGGACCCTGAGGGAAGCCGGAGGGCGGGATCCCAGGACCTCGACGCTGGCTCCAGGGCTTCTCCAGCGGGGACCCTTAGAGACCCCGAGTCCGGCCCGGACCGAAGCCACGTCCCACCGAGGAAGCGTTTGTTCCGGCTTCGGGTTTCAGCTGGGGAGACACCGTGAACCTACAGCGGGGTGGGAGCTCCCCGGTGCCAGCCCCCGTGTGCCCTGTCTTCGGTCATCGAGAGCCGCCCCTGAGTCCTCCTCGAGTTTTCTGCTGGCCCAATTTGAGTTTCCTACGCCTGCAAATAAAACAGTCTTGTACAGATTGATATTTGTGTCTTTATTGTTAAATTTGACTCCTGTTTCTAGGCTCAGACAGTGTGTTCCTGTCGTGGCTAACTCCAGGAAGCGCTGTTGGTCGGAACTGCTGAGACCGTGGCACAAAACTGTGGTGGCTGGATTCGGCGTGGCCCTGTGCGCAGTTCCTATCGTTCAGGTGATTGCTGTCTGCGGTTTGGGCTTTCTTGGCTCGGTGAGCTGGGTCCTCTTGATGACCCGAGTGAACACGAAAGAAGCTTCGGGTCCCCCACTATGATGCTTCTGCATCACTAACGTCTTCTCAGTGTTCAGCAGATGTCTTAACCCTCCCACTGTGTCATTTTGTAGAAGCTTAAGTTGTATGAAGAGTAGAGGGGAATGGGAGAGTGTGGTAGTATGTCAACAAAATAGTTCTTCATTCAGCAAAAACTTAATGGAACTTTTTTTTTAACAACTTTTATGTATCATACACTGGGAATGGAATAAGAACGAGCAGAAACTTCTTGCCACCATGAAACATTCAGGGAAGGTGAAAGAAGAGAAAAAAATGTAAAATGTCAGCTGGTGATAACCTCTGTGAAGAAAACAAATAGCAAATAGGGAGTCCTGGAAGTTTGTTTTACGTGTGAGTAGGTCAAGAAAAACTGCTCCAATAAGGTAAAGTTTAAGTATTAGAAAGCTGAATCATCTGAGAGAATTGAGCTATAAAAATGTCTAGTAAGGTAAAACAGCCTACCAGGCAGGACTTTTTATTTTTTTATTTTTGAAGCCATGGAATATATAATTTGGGGAATTATTAGAACTTCTTCCTACTTCCTATTTCTCTTTTTTTTTTTCATGTTTTCTTTAACATTTAATAGAAACTATGTACAATAAATTTTTACTGTATTTTACATAAGTAGCCACTGCAAATATTTACATAGATTAGAAGGAAGATAGGTGGTTAAGGAGGGCCCAGTCCTGAGGGATATTTTCTCAGAGCATGAAAGTCAGAGTTAAGTGGAGGAAAGGGGATTAAGTGAATGTTTAAAAAAAGCTAAAATGGGCTGGGGATTTAGCTCAGTGCTTCCACCACCTGCCTCACAAGTGCAAGACTCCCAAGTTCGATCCCCAGTACCAAAAAAAAAAAGCTAAAATGCAGGCCTTTGGGTAGATAACCAGACACTGGGACCAACAATATTTCAAAGATACCATTCTTAAACAGCCCCAATCTACTCATATATGTGGATTTTTGCCCATGACTTAGGAAAAACTGTTCCAAAGATGTCTTTCTCATTAGGCAAAGTCTCAACCATTCCTTCAATCCAGATAGAGATGACCTGGGGGCCGGGGATTTAGCTCAGTGCTTTCGCCGCCTGCTGCACAACCGCAAGGACCTGAGTTCAATCTCCGGTACCAAAAAAAGAAAAAAAAGAGTTAACAGGGATGACCTCTCCTCCTTGCTCAGAATAGGAAGAAACCCACAACTTTTGGACACTACTGACCCATTCTCTCCAGTTTTAGTCCTTATTCCACTTGCAGTTTCTCACACCAGAGAATGCTGCACTCAAATGTGTGTACAATTTATTTCACTTGAGAGTGTGGTCTCAAGGTCCATCCATTTAGCTATAGTCTGACACTCATCCTTCTTTATGGCAGAGTAGTATTCCATTGTATAAAAAAACCACATCATCTTTATCCACTTGTCAGTTGATGGGCATTTGGGCTGTTTCCAAGATTTTGCTATTACAAACTGTGCCACTATAAACATGGGTGTGTGTGCCTATATTGCTGCAGTATGATGCTTTTAATTCTTTCGGGAAGATAGCAAGAAGAGAAAGAGCTAGGTCAAATGGGTCATTTAATTTTTGAGAAATCGCCACACTGATTTCCACAGTGGTTGCACCAGTCTGCACTCCCACCCACAGTGGAGAAGGGTTCCTTTTCCCCAACAGCCCCACAGGCATTTGTTATTGGTTGATTTCTTGATAGCAGTCATTCTTTCTGGAGTGAGATGGAATCTCAGCGTTGGTTTAATTTGCATTTCACGAATGATCAGTGATGTTGAACATTTTTTCATATATTTATTTGCTGTTTCTAATTCTTCATCTGAGAAGTATCTTTTCATTTCAGATGCCCATTTTTCGACTGGGTCTTTAAATTTGGAAGGGGTCTGATTTTTTTTAGTTCTTTATATATTCTAGATAATAATTCTTTATTTGATGAATAGCTGGTAAAAAAAAATTTTCCCACTCTGTGGGTTGTCTCTTCACTCTGTTGGTGGTTTCTCTTACTGTGCAAAAGCTTTTTAATGAAATGAGGTCCCAGTTGTTGGTTCTTTGTAATATCTCCTGTTCGGTCTGGATTTTGTTCATGAAGTCTGTGCCTACTCCTGTGTCCTCAAGTGTTCTCTCTTCCAGCAGATTTAATGTTTCCCTTTTAATAGTTAGATCTTTGATCCATTTCGATTTCAGGTTAGTGCATGGCAAAAGATACGGGTCTAGTTTCAATCTTTGGCAAGTTGAAACCCAGTTTTTCAAGCACCACTTATTAAAGAGACTTTCTTCCAGTGAAGGTGTTTGGCTCCTTTGTCAAAGATTGTCTGAGTATGTCTAGAGTTGTTTCTGCATCTTCTACTCTGTTCCATTGATCCTCAGTTTTGTTCTTTTGTCAGTACCATGCTGGGGGTTATTTTGCTTTTTTTTTTTTGGTACTGGGGATCGAACTCAGGTCCTTGTGCTTGTGAGGCAGGCGGCGAAACCACTGAGCTAAATCCCTGGCCCTCTGCTCTGAGTTTTATAATTTCCTCCTTCATATGAGCTTTGGGCGTGACTTGCTCTTTTTTTTCCACAAGTTTAAGGTTCACCATTAGGTTTTTATGTGAGTCCACTCTTTTCTTGATATGCGTATTGACTGCTATAAATTTCCCTCATAGAAGTTCCAGTATGTTGTATTGTCATTATCATTTAATTGTAGAAACCATCTGATTTCTTCTTTAATTTCATCTGAGACCTTTGGTTGTTCAGGAGGGTGTTATTTAATTTCCATGTGTTTATGAAGTTCTTGTGGTTTCTTTTGCTGTTGATTTCCAATTTCATTGCACTATGGTCTGATAATATGCATCAGATAATTTCAACTGCTTTGCATTTACTTAAGCATGTTCTGTGAGTAGTATGTGGTAAGTGGTCTATTTTGGAGAACATCCCGTGTTTAGCCGAGAAGAATGTGTATTCTGATGTTGTGGTGTGGAACACTCTGTAGACATCTATTAGCTCCATTTGTTCAAAAGTTTGGTTCAGCTCTACTATTTGATTGTTGATTTTTTTTAGTTGATCTGTATATTTGTGACAATGGGGTATTGAGGTCCCCCATTACAACTGTCTTTAAAGCTTTTTTTTTTGCAATACTGGGGACTGAACTCAGGACCTTGCACTTGCAAGGCAGCCATGGTGCCACTGAGCTACATCCCCAGCCATCTTTAATATTTGTTTTCTATAGCTGGGTACACTGCTGTTTGGTGCATATATATTTGTGATTGTTGTCTCTTCCTCTTGGATTGTTTCCTTTACAAGGATGTGTAGTGACCTTCTTTCTCTCTCTTAATCAGTCTTGGCTTGAAACCCACTTTGTCTGCAAATAGAATAGGTACCCCTGGTTTTTTCTGGGTTCCTGCCACATGGAATATTGTTTTCCATCCTTTGTCTTTCAGTCTGTGAATTTGTTTTTGAAATAAATATGTTTCTCCTTTTTTTGTGTGTGTGCCGGGGATCAAACTTGGGACCTTGCACTTGCGAGGCAGGTAGCAGCACCACTGAGTTAAATCCCTGGCTAAATGTGTTTCTTGTATGGAGCATATTGTTGAATCTTGCTTCTTGATCCATTCTGCCACGTTTCTTTTGACTGGTGAATTGAGACCATTAACATTGATGGTTATAACTGATATGTATTGTCTTATCTCTGTCATGTTATTTCCCTGTTGTTGGCTTCCTTCTTACCTTTTCTGTTCAATTTCTTGCCTCACCTGGTGGATTCATTCTGTTGGGGTTCATGGAGTTGTAACCCTTGTCTCTTTCTAGAATAGCCTTAAAAACACTTTGGAGTGCTGGTTTGGTGATCATGAATTTCTTTAGGTGTTCTTTGTCATGGAAGTATCTTATTTCTTCATCAATTTTGAAGGGTAGTTTTGTAGGGTACATCACTCTGGGTTGGAGATTGTTTTCCTTTAGAGCTTAAAATACTTCACTCCAAGCTCTCCTTTACTTGAGAGTTTGTATTGAGAGGTCCACTGTGATTCTCATGGGGTTCCATTTATAGGTGATTTGTTTCTTTTCTCTAACAGCTTTTAATATTCTGTCCTCATTGAATTTCTGGAATCTTGACTATTACATGCCTTGGGGAAGACTTTTTTTTGGTCATGGCTAATTGGGGTCCTATATGCCTCACTTATCTGTATGTCAAATTCCTTTTCCCCCTTTGGAAAGTTTTCTACCTTTATTTCTTTTTCTTTTTTTTTCGTACCGGGGATCGAACATGGGTCCTTGCACTTGCGCAGCAGGCGGCAAAACCACTGAGCTAAATCCCCAGCCCATCTACCTTTATTTCTGAGAACAGGTTTTTTTTATGTCAGTTGCACCATCTCTTGCTTTTTCATTGACTCCAGTCAATCTTATGTTATTCTTTGCATCATATAGCAACTGCTAGATTGATTTCCTGTGGTCTCTTGCTATTTTTAAGAAATCTCTTTTCGTGATTGCTAACCACAATCCTGTCTTCTATATCTGATATTCTATCCTCACATTGGCTCATTCAGCTGCATATACTTTCAATGGTGTTTTTTATCTCCTGGATATGTTTGAATCTGTTTCATGGATTCCATTTCTTTCCTATGCTGGGTGTTCATGGTTTCCATCATGTTCCTGAGCTCCTCTATTTTTTTTACCTGTATCTGCTCTAGAGTCACTGAGCATGTCTTTCTTTCTGGTCACCATCTCTGTAGTTATCTTAGAAATTATTTCTGCTTTGATTTTTTCTAGAGCTTTGGTTGTCTGCTTTGTTATCTCTGCTGTTACAGTTCAGGGAGTCCAGGTGGGTGGCTTTTGGATTGTTCCACCTCATTTCCCTCAGGGTTTGCCTTTTGTGAGCTAGTAGTCTGAGGGGTGGGGGTTGCATCTTGTTTAAGTGTCTTCTCATTTTCTTTTTTTTTTTTAAGTTTGATTCCTGTGTTGATACTTGTAAATTGCTTATGTGAGTAACTTTATTGCCAATATTCACAACCCTTAGGAAATGACTACTTTTCAGATGCATCTTGCAGGTGTAGCTGGCTCTTGGGTTTTGAGTCTGTTGCAAGATCCTACCTCTTCAACTTATTGGAGATGAGAAATTTCTGCCCACTTGGCCCAGCTGCCAGTTCTTTTTTTTTTTTTTTTGTACCAGGGATCGAATTTGGGTCCTTGCGCTTTCGAGGCAGGTGGCAGAACCACTGAGCTAAATCCCCAGCCCTGCTGCCAGTTCTTTGGCACTGGCCTGTAGGATTTTTTAAGACCCTCAGGCAATCTCAGTCTTGATATACCAGGAGGAACAACTGGTTACCACAGTTATGTCACCTTGGCTACAGTAGTACAATCAACAATAACAGTAGCATCAAATAGACTAGAAAACAAACTGTGGTAACTATTAATTTGTCACATTTAACTGTATGAACTAGATTTGTGGTTATATAATGAAATTTAGAACAAATCTGAAAATTGTATGCAATAAATAATCCCTTAGTATGGCAATTTTACCCTTAGGGGAGAAGAATTAAAGGGGGTTAGCGGGTAAAAACCAGAAATAGAAGAAGAGGAAGAGATCAGAAACAAGGCTGAAGGACAAACTTTAGGAAACTGTTGGAGAAGATGGGTGGGAAAAAAGAAAAAAATAAAAACTAGAACAGAACAGAACAACAAAAACTAGAAACCATGTTCAAACAATCAAGAAAAAGCAAAGCAAAACAAGAACCAGAAAGGAGGACAAAAGGAAAGAACAAAGAAAAGAAAAAAGAAAAAAAAACAATATCCAATTCAAGGTGTGTTGCTACTGTCACTGGTAGGCAACTTAGGGAGAGTCCAGAGCCAAATTGATTAATCCCAGCAAGCCAGCTGCAGCTTCACAGTGAGGTAATGGATACTCCCAGCCAGCCTGCCCCATTAGTTCCTCTGAAGTTCAGAATGGTTTCTAGCTGTGAGGCTGGAACCAAATTCCTTGAGCCTACAATAGTCTGTCTCCTGCCGCCCTGAACTTTGCTCCCTGACCTCCTGCTCACTTGAACTCAGCACCGGCACCAAGCCACTGGGAGCCACTAAATGGGGTCAGCCTGCACCTGCTCTAAATTCCAAGTTCAGTTGGCCCCTCTCCAAGATGGCTACCAGCCAATCACCCTCACCCGGGTGAGGTCTGAACCTGGATAACTCAGCAGCTGCCATAGTCTACTGCGTCCACTACTCTTCCACTGGTATGTTTCTCCATAGAGGCCTCTAGGGTCGCCAGTAGTTGCTGTGTGTCTTCAGGTTCAGTCCTCCATTCCGTGCCAAAGGTCTGGGTTCTGGGAGAGAGCACTGCTTGCTACCTCCCTCTTCATTGAAGTCTCTCTCATCACTCTCCTTGTGGACTTCAGTTCTTGCCTCAGATCCTTCCAGGGTCCCAGTAACTCACTTCCCTCCTCCTCCTTGAGCCACTGTATTCCAGTGCCAGGACACCAAATCTCAGAGAGGCTCTTTTTCTGCTGCTTACCATTTCACCATCTTCCCAGAAGTACCCCCAGAAGGACTTTTTAAATGCTAAGGGCTAGCAGTAGTAGTGCACCAGATATGTTTGAGGAATAGCAAGGATGTGAATGTTACAGGAGTAGAATGAATTAGGGAGCGTATAATAGGTGAGGCCTATTAACTGAAGGTCAAACCGTGTGCTTTGTGGGCCATTATAAGGCTTTGGTTATTATTCTGAAAATGAAAGCCACAGAGGATTTTTAACTCAGGGCTATTATGATCTGACATACTACATTGACATACATACTATTATGATCTGTTTTTAAATGGTGGTTGTGCAGATATAGGAGGCTCATACTATAATCCAGGCATAGAATGATAGTGGCTTGGACTAGGGAAGGCAGTAGAGGAGGTGGGGGGAAATTGGCTGAATGTGGCCAACAGGAGTTGTTGATGGATTGGACATGGGTTGCATAACCTAGATTTCAAGGTTTTGTTTTGTTTTGTTTTGGTACCAGGGATTGAACTCGGGACCTTGTGCTTTCGAGGCAGGCAGCGGCACCACTGAGCTAAATCCCTGGCCCGATTTCAGGATTTTTAAAAGGCCTAATCAACTGAAATAATGGGGTTGACATTCACTAGGATATAGATGAGTGAGTTTTGAAAGGAAGAAACTTTTCAGTTTTGGAAACCAGTTTTGGAAATGTCTAAGATGTTCTGTAGACATCTAGGTGAGTGTGTCAAGTAGGCAGTTACTATAAAAGTAGCACCTGATTTTAAGAATTACTGGCTGTATGCTTTATGGGGAAGAGGTAGGAAGGAAACCAGCAAGCCTTATTTCATCAAAATATTCCTGATACCTTTGTGCTCATCACAAGATTAATTCCATTTATTGTTCATATTTTCAGCATCTTTGGAGGCTCATTCAAAAGCCGTCAACCTTGCTGTATTCATTTCACCTTTCAGCTTTGCATGCTGGTCAACGTTTAGCCCTAAAATCCTCAGATGAACACCAGGCCATTTTCTGTCACTATTAGGATGATTCTCGGGCCAGGGATTTAGCTCAGTGGTTCTGCCGCTTGCCTCCCAAGCACAAGGACCTGAGTTCAGTCCCTGGCACCAAAAAAACCAAATAAGAAAACCAAACTACTTTACATAGGATGATTCTCTTCCTTTAAAGGACTCTTTGGGTTTGTCCTTTCTCAGTTCATATACTGTACTGTTTTCTAAGCCCCAGTTACCTTAGTTCTGGGCTACATGAGAGGAGCTATAGTCATTCCCCTAAGGTACAGTGGTCCCACCTGGTGCCTCTCCATTCTGTTATAAAACTAAAATCTTACTCTTCTGCACTCTAGGGTCCTGGACATTGCTTACATGTAACAAATGTATTCTTTTCATTATTTCTTCCTTGCTATGATGCCTGGTCATTCAAGCCATACCTCTTCTCTAAAGCCTTTCTTAGTTCCCAGCCAACAGTCATCTGATATTTGGTCATAATTCCTTTGGCACTCTTCTGAGTCAGCATGGCGTAAATGAAAGAGTACAGAGTTTGAAAGGACAAGATTTGATATGAGGGCTAGATCGTGATCTTTTAGGAAAATTATATAACTACTCCAAACTTCCACTTCATATATAAAAAAGTTTTTTAAGGAATTGTTTTAAGCCCCAACTGAACATAAAAAGGGATTGAGATGTAGCTTAGTGGTAGAATGCTTGCCTAGCATGTACACAGCCTGGGTTCAATGGCTAGTATTGCAGAAATAAACAAAAAAATACTTTGTTCTCTGAAGCAGATGAGACTTGGGTAGAAAGCTTACTATGGAGATACTTCCCTATGTCTTATGTAGCCAAAATAAAGCCTAAGAAAAAGAAGTTAACCCAGAAAAGTGCAGTACAGTTAACAGCTTAAAACAAAGCAGTATGAGAATGGTTTTTGCTTTTTCTGTTTTTTTTTTTAAGGGGGTATCAGAAATTGAACTCAGGACCTTGTTCTTGCCAGGCAGGTGCAGCCCCACTGAACTAAATCCCTGGCATTTAGGTTTTTCTCTTAAGTGTGCATGATGAAGTTCTCAGCTTGAGCTTCATTTACATTTACTTTGAAAGTTGAGTGGTGATATTTGTGTCTTTCAGAAATCAGAGCCTCATTCTCTCAGTAATGAAGCATTAATGAGGAGGGCTGTGTCTTTGGTAACAGATAGCACCTCTACCTTTCTCTCTCAAACCACTTACGCACTGATTGATGCAATCACCGAATACACTAAGGTAAGTATCCTCTTGTCTTGATCTTCTAAGCCAGGTCTTAGCAAACCATGACTCCACCAGATCCAGCCTGATGGTTACATTTTGTTTTGCTTGTTGTTTTTTGAGACAGGGTCTCACCATGTAGCCCAGGTTAGCCTTGAACTTGAGGGGATCCTCTTGCCTTGGCCTTCTGAATATGTGATTACAGGGATGTACCACCATGCCTGGCTTTATTTGCATTTTATTGCAAGTTAGCCAGGTTCATTTCTTTATTGTCTGTTCAAGAGTTTGAGTAGTTTCAGCAGAGTAAGGTGCACAATCCCAAAATGTTTTCTGTTTGGCCCTTTACAAAAAAGGTTACTGAGCCATGATCTAAATCACTGGTTTTTATACTTATTCCAGGAACCCTTTTTTTTCTTACAGAAAAATCTTAAGTATGATAGCCCCTATGTAAAATAGAAGCCCAGCTGATCTGCCTTCAGTAAGGGTTAAAAGAGTTCAAAGTCCACTCTCAGAGGTTTCCCTGTGAGGACTGTTTGAAAACCATTGAGATAGGGCCAGGGATTTACAGTGGTACCACGCCTGTCTTGCAAGCGCAAGGTCCTGAGTTTGATCCCGGGTACTGCAAAAAAAAAAAAAAAAGAACCAAACAAAAAAAGAAAACCATTGAGATAGAAGAGTAATCAAAATTACTCAAAAGCATTCAGTGCTATGGCACATGCTTATAGTTCCAGCTACTCGGGAGGTTGAGGCAGGGGATCACTTGAGCCCCAAGGAGTTTGAGACCAGTCTGGGCAACATAGCAAAAAAAAAAAAAAAATTCTCAAAGAAAAAATTAAAGGTCTCATTTGGCCATTTATTTTACTTATATTTTCCAGTAGCTTTTTTCCCTCTACATTGTGTTCTCTTTCTATATCTCTGCATGTGTATCTCTATATTTTAAAAAACAGATTTTAGGCAGGTGTGGTGGTATACACCTATAATCCTAGCTACTTGGGAGATTAAGGCAGAAGGATCCCAAATTCCCAGCCACTCTGGACAATATAGTGAGATCTTGATTCAAAAAAATGAGATTTACAGGTAGATACACCAATGTCCTGAAATGATGCCTCTACTTCACACAGTAGCACGATTTCAGGGAGCACAAGGACCGGAGAGCCAGATTGCTATAAAGGGGGTTGACATCCTTGAGGTGTAAATGTCACTAATCCTTCTAATATGCTTCACTTATTTTGCTCATTTTATTTTTATAGGCTGTTTATACATTAATTTCCCTGTACCGACAATATACAAATTTACTTGGGAAAATAAATTCACAGGAGGAAGATGACGTGTGGCAGGTGATCATAGGAGCCAGAGTTGAGGTAAGCAAAAAACTGTTAGGCCTTTCTGTGTTCATCTTACTGCCTCATTATGTAATCTATCAAATTAAGATGTCTAATCAGTAACTGCTCTTGAATCTGCTACTTTGACTAAGTCCACCTAATTAACTGTGCTAAACCTCTTCATGTCATCTGAAGCTCTTTGCTAAATTTACAGATGACTTCCAAACAACAAGAGTACTTGAAGCTGGAAACCACTTGGATGACTGCAGTTAGTCTTTCAGAAATGGCAGCAGAAGCTGCGTACCAAACTGGTAGGTTAAAGTTTGTGTTTTTGTTTTCTACAAGGGAGATACTGTTTGATTTTTCGCTTAGCTGTAAAATGAGAGATTTAGATTAGGTGATCTAATTAATGACTCCCGAGTATAACTTTATTAGAAAGAAACATTTTATTTGCACAGTAGGAAAAATACACACCTTGTAAACCAGACCAGTAGAAGGTAGGCTGTCAAGATCTAGAAAAAGGAAAATAAATTGATGAAACTACTGTCATTGGAAAATGTTTCCAATTTAACTATTTCATTTTTTCATAATCTAGACTATTAAGTCATAGAATAACAGTGGCTGAAACTTGAGCTCATCAATTTACATGACCCATTTTGTACAAATGCAAGAAATAAGACTCAGAATCATAGTGGCAAACCCAGTACAAATCATTGAGAATTTGTCTCTTTCAGGCTGTGTGGTAAGCACTTCATAGGCACTTTTAATGCCTACAGTTTAAGGTAGAAGCTATAGTTATTGTTCCCACTTAGAGCCAAAGAAATTGGGTGACAACCTAACCTGCCATTGTATAGTTAGTAAGTGGCCATACTGACATGCAGCTGGTTAAGATCAGATTCTAAAGCCTTTGTGGCTGGTAGCTAGAGTTTTGTTCTCTGTTACCTCATTGACCTAATTCAGTGTTGTTTTGTTACTTTTCTTAATTTGGGGGGTTTTTTTGGTTCCAGGGATCAAACTCAAAACCTTGCCAGGCAGGCACAGCACCACTGAGCTAAACCCCCAGCCTTTAATTTGTTTTTTTTTTTGAGACACTGTGGTCTCACTGTGTAGATCAGGCTCGTCTTGAACTCATTATGTAACCCAACTACCTTTTACCTCACGGCACCCCTGCCTCAGCTTCCTGAGTGCTGGGATTATAGGCATGCACCAACCAACATGCCCAGCTTTGCAATTTTGTTATTTTACCAAAGTGTTTTTGAATATCACTATCTATCCAGTGGTCCTAAGCCAACTTGTTTTACTTATTTTTGGCAGTACTGGGGATTCAACCCAGAGCCTTCACACTGAGCTTCATCCCCATCCCTTTTTAATTTTGAGACAGGGTCTTGAACTTGTGATCCTCCTGCCTCAAAACCAAATGGGGGAAAAGGTGGAAAATAATAGAAAGATAAACTGAGGAATTAAAAAGCCAGTATAGCACAGATGCCAAACTGGACTAGGGTAGCATCAAGACAAAAACTATATTTCAGGGGCCGGGGATTTAGCTCAGTGGTTTCGCCGCCTGCTGCGCAAGCACAAGGACCTGAGTTCAATTTCCGGTACCAAAAAAAAACAACAAAAAACAACTATATTTCAGTATCACTTCTAAATATAGATGTAAATCAAATGTAATCATTTACCCTTAAATATAGCAATAGTTTACTGAGGGACAATTTGTCAATGTGATTCACAAGTTGAGATTTATAGTAATTAAAGGAGAAAATATAATCAATATATACCAAAAATGTATTGATATGTTCAGTACAATATAGTATCCATTTATGAATTAAAAGTATAATTGCAAAGAGATCATTGTCTTAACGTGATAAGGGATAAGTAATCCTACTTAACAGTGAAATGTCAGAAGTGTTTCCACAAGGTGAGAAATAAAACATGGCCTGCCATTCTCCATTTCCCTACGTTGTGTTGAAGAGTCCCGTCAGTGCAGACAGGGCAATCCAGATGTTCTAGAGATAAACATAAAATATGCATATGTATGTGAAGTACACTAGCAGCAAGGAGAATGAGGAGCTCAAACCATATTTGTAAGTGAAAAAAATTACAAAATATGTTCAGTATACTATGTACCTTTTATGCCATTATGTTTATGACAGTGGTGGCAAACCTATGGCATACATGCTGCAATGGGCTGTTACCCCTGAAAGTTCTAAAAGGTTCACCATCACTGGTTTATAGTAACAATGTCTTTCTCTGTATTTTATATGTTTATAGGCACCTTTTTTTGTTGTTTTTGGGGTTTTTTTGGTACTGGAGATCGAACTCGGGTCCTTGCGCTTGTGCAGCAGGCAGCAAAACCACTGAGCTAAATCCCCAGCCCTGTTTGGTTTTTTTGAGACAGTCTTGCTATGTACTTCAGACTGGCCTGGAACTCCACTGTGTAGTTCAGGCTGGCCTTGAACTCAGGACAATCCTCCTGCTTCAGCCTCCCGAGTGCTGGGATCACAGGTGTGCACCACCACGGCTGGTGTATATAGGCACATTTTAAAAGGGAGAAATATGCTCTCTAAATTTCCAAAAGCGGTTATCTCTGAAGGTATAGCAGCTCTTTGAAAATTTTACTCAAGATCCCTTAATTTGTCAAAAAGAAACATAAAGCCGGGTGTGGTGGCGCATGCCTGTAATCTCAGCACTCAGGAGGCTGAGGCAGGAGGATCACTTCGAGTTTGAGGCCAGCCTGGGCTACACAGTGAGTTCAAGGCCAGCTTGAACTACACAGCCAGACTGTCTCTAAAAAAGGAAACATGACTTATTAAAATTTAAATTCATAAAAGGTCAGTCCTAAGAGCTAGGTAGCTATGAAGATGATTGTGGAAGTTGAGTTTCTCCTTTAGCTGAAGAGAGATCCTGAGGTTTGGACAGTAAAGGGGTGGTTAAACTCAGACCTGGACACGCATGGCGGGCGGGCTGTCTGCTCTGTGGAGGACAGGGAAGGGGACCCCCAGACCCCAGGCTTTCCTGTGTCTGCATGTGTCTTCTGCCTTGCTGGCTTAGTGCCATTGTCTCATCTCCTGGCAGGAGCCGACCAGGCCTCCATAACCGCCAGGAATCACATCCAGTTGGTGAAGTCACAGGTACAGGAGGTACGCCAGCTCTGCCAAAAAGCGGAGGCCAAGCTGGCTGAAGCACAGACGCAGGAGCTGCACCAGAAAGCACAGGAGGACGAGGACGAGGCGCCTGACCAGGAGCACGAGGCCTACCTTCGAGAAGATTGAGGGCTGGAGCCCGCTGCCTTCATGCCCATGGTGGGGACAGGTACCGTCGCCCAGCAGGGGCACAACTGTCCACGCAGTGGAGGGGCCGAAGGTGCTGCCTGGCCGATCAGGCCACCAACTTTGTGCATGGTGAGCTCCAGGGCCGGTCCCTCTCCCTGCCACCTCAGCCTTCCCCGGAGCTGGGCACTGGGCCCTGTTTAATGCCGCCCCTGTGCACGGTGTTACCTCACACCAGCCAGCTCCCCGACCTGGGCCCCCATGGGGGCCCTCTCTTTGTCACACTCTAATGTTCAATAGCTGTTTGACCTGAGTTTTGGGTCTTACTCAGGTTTCCAGATATGACTTAGTATTTGCTCCCTCCATGGGGACAGAAGCCTGTCCGGCTTGCAGGGTTTTCCTGAGGCGTATGTATAATGCTTGCTCCAGTCTGGAGCAGAGCTCAGGCCGAGGAGCTGAGCCTGTCAGGAAGGGAATGAATCAGCATCCTTCTGGTGCTCCCGACGGGCCTTACTCTAGCACATGCCTCACCTTTCATTGCCTTCTTTCCTTGGAGTTTCTCTGTTGTATCCAAAAGAGAATTTTCTTTCATTTGAAAAAGAATGTGTGTGTTTTTTGGGGCCTACACAGCCTCCTTCCTTCTCTGCCCAGAGGGACAGTGCCCATGGGCCCTGTGGTTTCCAGCGGCGTTTGCTGTGCCCCGGCCTCCTCTGGACACACATGCAGGGGAGGGAGAGGTCACAGAATGGAAGTGGGTGCATCCTGTAGCCCAGCAGGGACCCTCACCCAAGTCAGCAGTGAGTCCTCCCGCTCTAGAGCAGCTGTCTGTGCCGGGGTTTGGGGGCAGCCGCACATGGGAGCCCCTCATCTGTCACCAGTGCCTGCATGGTCCACGTCTCCAGGGGGCTGAGGCGGTGCACCAGGAGCCCTCGGTACAGGCAGATCCCGAAGGTCTTGAAGCTGGCATGGTGTGTGGGGCTCAGGCCCAGCCTCTTCGTGCACCTGCCCTCAAAGATGTCGTTGATAGGGAATAGCTTGGCCTCCTCCACGGCTGGCCCGAGGTGCCTCATGGTGGTTCTGGACAGGACATAGCCGCCACCGCCCCGGTAGGGTGGGTAATGGCGAACCCTGTACATGCAGGGCCTGATGAAATACTTGACCCTGGTGTTCCTGTTGGGCAGGGCCTGGTGGATGATGTCTCCCACCAGGAGGTCCTGGGCGGGGTCTGGACCGTGCAGGAACTCCAGCACATTGGGGACGGTCATCTCTCTTCAGCACGAAGTGGTCCTGAGGGCAGGCGGCCGCCACCCACCGCTGCAGCTGCAGCTCCTTGAGGGTCAGGTTGAAGTCCTCGGCAGAGTCCCAGTGGAGGATGTCTTCGAACTCCCTGCTCTCATAGGCCAACAGCTGGGCTGGGGCTGGAGGGCCGGCCACCCCGAGGAGGAACACCAGCTTCAGCCACCGGCCCGTGCCCAGCTCCCCTCTCGGCCCCACGTGCTTCGGATGGCCGCGCGCCGCTCCACGTGGCCAGGAGCAGGAAGGTGTCCCTGGCACAGCCCGAGGGCTCCAGCAAGATGGAGAAGTTCCGGCAGTGGCCGTAGGTCAAGAGGAGGCGGTGACGGCTGGGCAGGGCCAGTGAGGTGTTGGCCACTGTGCGGTTGGGTGGGCACTGGCCACGCCGGGACCCCAGGGAGCCCAGAAGGGGGCGTCGGGTGGTGGGGCCGCCTGTCCGCGGGGCCTCCTTCTTCAGAAACAGCAGGCAGCTGAGCAGCAGCGCCTTGGAGGAGCAGCCAGTACAGCCCGCTGAACGTATGGCCCTGCGGGAAGAGAGCCTGAGCCGCCGCGGCGCCCCC